TCGTGGGAAATCTATATTTTTGGCCTTCTCTGGCCTTCCTGAAGGCCCTCTTGGATGCCTCTTAGTGCAATCTTCGGCCGTCTTGGTGGGCCCCTGGCCCGTCCGACGCCGTCGGAAGCCGTTTGGGGGGCCTCTCTGAGCCGACTTGGGGCCCTCTTGGGGTGCTCCAGGGCCGTCTTGGAGGCCATCTTGGGCGTCTTGGAAGCCTCTTGGGTCGTCTTTGTGCCCTCTTGGGGCCGTCTTGGGGGCCTCTCGGGCCGTTTCGGGGCTATCTTGGAGGCCTCTTGGGCGATCTTGGGGCGATCTTTGGGGGCTGTTGGGCTGTCTCGGGCCGTTGGAAAGGCAGAAAAGAAGCAAGTGTCAACATCCTCCAAAAGCCAGCAGAAAATTAATATGTTTGGCCTTTTCTGGCCTTCCTGGGGGCCCTCTTGGAGGCCTCTTGGGCAGTCTTGGGCCAGCTTAGAGCCAACTTCGGCCATCTTGGTGGGCTCCTGGCCCGCCTGACGCCGTCGCAAGCCGTTTGGGGGCCCTCTGAGGGCCGATTTGGGGCCCTCTTGGGGTGCTCCAGGGCCGTCTTGGAGGCCATCTTGGGCGTCTTAAACGCCTCTTGGGTCGACTTGGGGCCCTCTTGGGGCCGTCCTGGTGGCCTCTTGGGCAGTTCTGAGGCCATCTTGGAGGCCTCTTGGGCGCTCTGGGGGCGATCTTGGGGGCTCTTGGGCCGTATCGGGCCGTCGGAAGGCCGAAATGAAGCAAATGTCAACATGTTTCGAAAACCTACGGGGAATCTGTTTTTGGCCTCTTCTGGCCTTCCTGGGGGCCCCTCTTGGAGGCCTCTTGGGCCGTCTTGGGCCAGCTTAGAGCCAACTTCGGCCATCTTGGTGGGCTCCTGGCCCGCCTGACGCCGTCGCAAGCCGTTTGTGGGCCCTCTGAGGGCCTATTTGGGGCCCTCTTGGGGTGCTCCAGGGTCGTCTTAGAGGCCATCTTGGGCGTCTTAAGCGCCTCTTGGGTCGACTTGGAGCCCTCTTGGGGCCGTCCTGGGGACCTCGTGGGCAGTCCCGAGGCCCTCTTGGAGGCCTCTTGGGCGCTCTGGGGGCGATCTTGGGGGCCTCTTGGGCCGTCTTGGGTCGTCGGAAAGCCGAAAAGGAGCAAATGTCAACATCCTTCAAAAACCAAAGGACAACCACTGATTTGGCCTCTTCGGGCCCTCGTGGAGGACCTCTTGGAGGCCTCTTGGGCCATCTTGGAGGCCTCTGGGGGCCTCTTGGGCCGTCTGGAACCATCTTGAGGCTATCGGAGGCCGTCTTGGAGGCATCGTGGGCCATCTTGGAGGCATTTTTGGGCCATCTGAGCCGTCTTAGAGGCCATGTTGGCCGTCTTCGAGGCGTCTTGGGGGCCATCTCGGGCCGTCGCGGAGCCGTCTGGAGCAGGAACAAACCCTTTGCAACCACCTCTGGAGAAGCCGGGCAATCTTTCCGGGTGGCCGGCGGGACGGGCCGACTCCAGGGGGAGTTCTTCGGAAAACGAACCAAGACCAAATCCGAAAAGATCTAGCACGCCAGGCACCCCTGCGCTGAATCGACAGGGGGCGGCGGATGGTGTCTTGGGCCTCTTGGACGATCTTTGGGGGCACTTGGGCCGTCTCGGGCCGTCGGAAGGCCGAACAAAAAGCAAATGCCCACAATCCTGGACAAAGCTAATGGGAAATCTATGGTTTTGGCCCTGGCCTTCCTGAAGGCCCTCTTGGAGGCCTCTTGGGCCGCCTTGGGCCATCTTAGTGCCATCTTCGGCCGTCTTGGGGGCCCCTGGCCCGTCCGACGCCGTCGGAAGCCGTTTGGGGCGCCTCTCTGAGCCGACTTGGGGCCCTCTTGGAATGCTCCAGGGCCGTCTTGGAGGCCATCTTGGGCGTCTTAAACGCCTCTTGGGTCAACTTGGGGCCCTCTTGGGGCCGTCCTGGTGGCCTCTTGGGCAGTTCTGAGGCCATCTTGGAGGCCTCTTGGGCGCTCTGGGGGCGATCTTGGGGGCTCTTGGGCCGTATCGGGCCGTCGGAAGGCCGAAATGAAGCAAATGTCAACATTTTTCGAAAACCTACGGGGAATCTGTGTTTTTGGCCTCTTCTGGCCTTCCTGGGGGCCCCTCTTGGAGGCCTCTTGGGCCGTCTTGGGCCAGCTTAGAGCCAACTTCGGCCATCTTGGTGGGCTCCTGGCCCGCCTGACGCCGTCGCAAGCCGTTTGGGGGCCCTCTGAGGGCCTATTTGGGGCCCTCTTGGGGTGCTCAAGGGTCGTCTTAGAGGCCATCTTGGGCGTCTTAAGCGCCTCTTGGGTCGACTTGGGGCCCTCTTGAGGCCGTCCTGGGGACCTCGTGGGCAGTCCCGAGGCCCTCTTGGAGGCCTCTTGGGCGCTCTGGGGGCGATCTTGGGGGCCTCTTGGGCCGTCTTGGGTCGTCGGAAAGCCGAAAAGGAGCAAATGTCAACATCCTTCAAAAACCAAAGGACAACCACTGATTTGGCCTCTTCGGGCCCTCGTGGAGGACCTCTTGGAGGCCTCTTGGGCCGTCTTGGAGGCCTCTGGGGGCCTCTTGGGCCGTCTGGAACCATCTTGAGGCTATCGGAGGCCGTCTTGGAGGCATCGTGGGCCATCTTGGAGGCATTTTTGGGCCATCTGAGCCGTCTTAGAGGCCATGTTGGCCGTCTTCGAGGCGTCTTGGGGGCCATCTTGGGCCGTCGCGGAGCCGTCTGGAGCAGGAACAAACCCTTTGCAACCACCTCTGGAGAAGCCGGGCAATCTTTCCGGGTGGCCGGCGGGACGGGCCGACTCCAGGGGGAGTTCTTCGGAAAACGAACCAAGACCAAATCCGAAAAGATCTAGCACGCCAGGCACCCCTGCGCTGAATCGACAGGGGGCGGCGGATGGTGTCTTGGGCCTCTTGGACGATCTTTGGGGGCACTTGGGCCGTCTCGGGCCGTCGGAAGGCCGAACAAAAAGCAAATGCCCACAATCCTGGACAAAGCTAATGGGAAATCTATGGTTTTGGCCCTGGCCTTCCTGAAGGCCCTCTTGGAGGCCTCTTGGGCCGCCTTGGGCCATCTTAGTGCCATCTTCGGCCGTCTTGGGGGCCCCTGGCCCGTCCGACGCCGTCGGAAGCCGTTTGGGGCGCCTCTCTGAGCCGACTTGGGGCCCTCTTGGAATGCTCCAGGGCCGTCTTGGAGGCCATCTTGTGCATCTTAAAAGCCTCCTGGGCCGTCTTGGCAGTAAGGCGCTGGATCAAGTCACGGTGGTCACGGTCACGGTCACGGTCAAGGTCACGGTCACGGTCACGGTCACGGTCACGGTCACGGACCCGGACCCGGACCCGGACCCGGACCCGGGACCGGACCCGGACCCGGACCCGGACCCGGTCCCGGTCCCGGTCCCGATCACGGTCACGGTCACGGTCACGGTCACGGTCACGGTCACGGTCACGGTCACGGTCACGGTCACGGTCACGGTCACGGTCACGGTCACGGTCACGGTCACGGTCACGGTCACGGTCACGGTCACGGTCACGGTCACGGTCACGGTCACGGTCACGGTCACGGTCACGGTCACGGTCACGGTCACGGTCACGGTCACGGTCGCGGTCACGGTCACGGTCACGGTCACGGTCACGGCCACGGTCACGGTCACGGCCACGGCCACGGCCACGGCCACGGTCACGGTCACGGCCACGGTCACGGCCACGGGCATGGGTTTTGCCCGTGTAATGGTGACGTCATCGGCGACAAAGTCGCTGGCAGCATCGGTCATGGTCTGGACCCAAAGCGTGGCGTCGCACAGCGGCGCGGAACACAACACCGCACCGCACAGCATGTCATGGCATGGCGCCTGACTCCTCGGAGGGTAAGTGGATCGTCGTGGAGAGGTCTGGGCCCGTCTGGAGCCGCGGCTCCATGTCCAGCTCCTTAGGCTCCCCGAAAAGCCCCTCACAAAAAGGGCTGTCGGATAGAACCCGCTGGCTCTGCTTTCAACATCGCCTGTTCGAAGCTGAAACAGGGTTCCTGCTTGATACTGCTTCAGAACAACGACGACGCCCCCAAAGGGGGGGGGGCCGTCAAAGCCCCAACAATTCAGCGAATCGACTCCGGATGTGCTATCACGACCGATGCTCTTTTCGGAGGGCTTATCTTTAGACCGTGGGCATTACTGGAAGGACCGAACACGCCGGTGCTGCCGCGGGAGTTCGATGTTGAACAATTGGAAGCGCGGAAGCGGGGCCAGCCCTGCAGCGGGAGCAACATTTTGAACCATCGAAAACAATCGGAGTGGAATAACTTATAAAACATATCAACTTTTCAAATCCTGTGTGAAACAACAATACGCGGACAGGGCGGGAGACTCTCTGCACAGACTAGGGGGAGAGAGGAAAGTAGTATCCATATTGTGGAATTGTGTGACGGGAGGGGCAGAGAGGGGAGGGCGAGGGCGGGGGGACTGGAGGGAAAACGGGAGGGGCAGGGAGGGCAGGAGAGGCAGGAATGGGCGGAGGGAGAGGGGAGAGGAAGGGATTCGGAACAACATATCCACGGATAGCCGTTCAACCGCAGAGCGGCCGTTCGTCGCTCTGTCCAAACATTGCTACGTCATGCTGTGGAGACATCGTCGTGGCGTCACCCCCGCCGTGACCCAGAGCTTCCGTGGCTCAAACGAGAGGCGCCCAGGCGAGGTGGGGCGAAGCACTTTCTTCGCCATGTCGCGCTCCAAGGAGTGGCTTTCGAAAGTATCCAGCGGCCTTCGGCCCATCCCGCACCCGCGCCTGGGTTTCGGGCACAAATTCAACGGGATCCTTTTCTGGGTCTCCTCGGAGCCTGGTCGTGGCTTTTCGGGGGGGTGCGAAACTCTGTTGGGCCCTTTTTGGGCCGCTGACCACGAAAACTCCTGCGGCAAACGAGGGGCCGGCGACCGCGGCGCCGGCGACCCGCCCAGCGCCGGCGCCAGCCCACGGCGGCGGCGCTAGCGCGGGCGGTGATGGCGGGGACGCTGGTGCGGAGGGCGGTGCGGACGGTGATGGGCACGTTGGTGGGGACGGCGGTGGTGGTGGGGTAGGTGGTGGAGATGGCGGGGACGGTGGTGGGGGCGGGGGCGGCGGGGACGCTGGTGCGGACGGCGGGTCCGCCGCCCGCCCGACCGACCGACCCGCCCGTTAGGTTCACTGCGTGACCAAGTGTACACGCAACCATGCTTTAATGTCCCCGCCCGCCGACCCGAACCCGCCCGTTAGGGCCCGACCCGACCCTGCCCGACCCCGCCCGTTAGGGTCCCGCCCGCCTGGTCCCGAACCTACCACGCCGCCCGAAGGGGTACGCGTTCAGGTGGACACGCACCATACTTTAATGTGGCGCACCGCCCGACCCGAACCCCCCCGTAGGGGCCGCCCGACCCACCCACCCGCCCGTTAGGTCCAGCCCGCCTTGGGCGACCCGACCCGACCCGCCCGTAACGGTTCACGCGTGTCAAAGTACACACGCAACCATACATCAATAGTCCCGCCCGCCCGACCCGACCCGCCCGTTAGGGTCCGCCCGGCCCGGCCCGACCCGCCCGTCAGGGTCCGCCCGCCCGACCCGACCGGATCCCTTGTCAGGGGTCACGCGTGTCAAGTGTACACGCGCCATACTTTAATGCCCCGCCCGCCCGACCCGACCCGCCCGTTAGGGTCCGCCCGATCCGACCCGACCCGCCCGTTCGGGTCCGCCCGCCCGACCCGACCCGACCCGCCCGTTAGGGTTCACGCGTGTCAAGTGTACACGCAGCATACTTTATTGCCTTGCCCGACCGACCCGACCCGCCCGTTAAGGTCCGCCCACCCGACCCGCCCCGACCCGCCCGTTAGGGTTCACGCGTGTCAAGTGTACACGCACCATATTTTCATGTCCCGACCCGCCCGACCCCGAAGACCCCGCCCGTTAGGGTCCGCCCACCCGACCGCCCCGCTAGGTCCGCCCGCCAGACCACCGAAGCCACCCGCACGTTAGGGTTACTCGGTCACGTGTACACGCCACCAATTACTTTAATGCCCCGCACGCCCGACCCGACCCGCCCGTTAGGGTCCGCCCGGCCCGACCCGCCCGTTAGGGCCCGCCCGCCCGACCCGACCCGACCCGCCCGTTAGGGTCCACGCGTGTCAAGTGCGCACGCACCAGCCTTGAATGCCCCGCCCGCCCGAACCGACCCGCCCGCTAGGGTCCGCCCGACCCGGCCCGACCCGCCCGTGAGGGTCCGCCCGCCCGACCCGACCCGACCCGCCCGTTAGGGTTCACGCGTGTCAAATGTAACCGCACCATACTTTAATGTCCCGCCCGCCCGACCCGACTCGCCCGTTAGGGTCTGCCCGAACCGACCCGACTAGCCCGTTAGGGTCCGCCCGCCCGACCCGACCCGCCCGTTAGGGTTCGCGCGTGTCAAGTGCACACGCACCATACTTTAATGTCCCGCCCGGCCGGCCCGACCCGCCCGTTAGGGTTCGCCCGACCCGACCCGGCCCGCCCGTCAGGGTCCGCCCGCCCGACCCGACCCGACCCGCCCGTTAGGGTTCACGCGCGCCAAGTGCACACGCACCATAAATTAATGCCCCTCCCGCCCGCCCGACCCGACCCGCCCGAATTAGGGCCCGCCCGACCCGACCCGACCCGCCCGTTAGGGTCCGCCCGCCGACCCGACCCGACCCGCCCGTTAGGGTTCGCGCGTGTCTAGTGTGCACGCACCATACTTTAATGTCCCCGCCCGCCCGACCCGACCCGCCCGTTAGGGTCCGCCCGACCCGACCCGACTAGCCCGTTAGGGTCCGCCCACCCGACCCGACCCGCCCGTTCGGGTTCACGCGTTTCAAGTGCGCACGCACCATGCTTTAGTGTCCCGCCCGCCCGGCCCGACCCGCCCGTTAGGGCCCGCCCGACCCGACCCGACCCGCCCATTAGGGTCGCCCGCCCGACCCGACCCGACCCGCCCGTTAAGGTTCACGCGTGTCAAGTGTACACGCACCACACTTTAATGTCCCGCCCGCCCGACCCGACCCCGGAGCGGCCCTGGGCCCGGCCACGGTGACGGTCAAGGTCACGGTACCGGTCACGGTCGCGGTCACGGTCGTGGTATCCGTCACGGTCACGGTCACGGTCACGGTCGCGGTCACGGTCACGGCCACGGTCACGGTCACGGTCACGGTCACGGTCACGTGCCGCCCCCTGGGGTGCTTGCGATCTGCGCAACCGTCGCCACTTTCGTGGGCTCCTGGGAGGCCCAGCGGAGGGGCGTCATACGCGGACCATCTCGGGACCTCGCCGCCACCTGGGGGGCTAATTGTCGTCGTTTTCGTGGGCTCCCGGGAGGCCCAGCGGAGGTACGTCATACGCGGACCACCTCGAGACCTTGCCGCCCCCTTGGGTGCTTGCGCTCTGCGCAACCGTCGCCACTTTCGTGGGCTCCTGGGAGGCCCAGCGGAGGGGCGTCATACGCGGACCACCTCGGGACCTCGCCGCCCCCTGGGGTGCTTGCGATCTGCGCAACCGTCGCCACTTTCGTGGGCTCCTGGGAGGCCCAGCGGAGGGGCGTCATACGCGGACCATCTCGGGACCTCGCCGCCACCTGGGGGGCTAATTGTCGTCGTTTTCGTGGGCTCCCGGGAGGCCCAGCGGAGGTACGTCATACGCGGACCACCTCGAGACCTTGCCGCCCCCTGGGGTGCTTGCGATCTGCGCAACCGTCGCCACTTTCGTGGGCTCCTGGGAAGCCCAGCGGAGGGGCGTCATACGCGGACCATCTCGGGACCTCGCCGCCACCTGGGGGGCTAATTGTCGTCGTTTTCGTGGGCTCCCGGGAGGCCCAGCGGAGGTACGTCATACGCGGACCACCTCGAGACCTTGCCGCCCCCTGGAGTGCTTGCGATCTGCGCAACCGTTTCCACTTTCGTGGGCTCCTGGGAGGCCCAGCGGAGGGGCGTCATACGCGGACCATCTCGGGACCTCGCCGCCACCTGGGGTGCTTGCGATCTGCGCAATTGTCGCCACTTTCGTGGGCTCCTGGGAGGCCCAGCGGAGGGGCGTCATACGCGGACCACCTCAGGACCTCGCCGCGCCCTGGGGGGCTCGCGATCTGCGCAACTGTCGCCACTTTCGTGGGCTCCTGGGAGGCCCAGCGCAGGTACGTCATACGCGGACCACCTCGGGACCTCGCCGCCCCCTGGGGGGCTTGCGATCTGCGCAACTGTCGCCACAAAGTGTGATGTCGGACGAGCTGCGTTCTTCTGAAATCACTGCTGTGTGCTCTTCTTGCGCACTGCGGGTCCTTCAGAATGCCAGTCAGCATTGAGTGGTCCTGAGTATAATCGCCACATGTATAGAAAAGGGTTGGGTACGTCACAGGGTAATTTGGAAACATAACCAAAAACAAAACCCATATAGTCTGGCACGCCAGGCCCCCCTTTGATACATCAAAAGGGGGCGGCGGATCGAAGACGCCTACGGCGAATCACCGCCGCCCCCTGCCTTTGTGGAAGCGCCCATGTGGCCGAACGTTGAGGCCAGACCTGCCAAGCTATCGGGCCATGTGTTCCCCGAATCGGTTTGGAAAGCCTTCGGGGAACGCGTGGGCATCTTGAAGGTCATCATGGCCGCCTGGAGGCAATTTTGACCCTTTCGGGCCTTCTTGGAGAATGTCTTGGAGGGCTCTTGGCCGTCTTGGAGTCTTGGAGACCTCTTCGGCCGTCTTGGGGGCCTCTTGGGGCCGTGTCTTGGGCCTCTTGGGCGATCTTGGAGGGCACTTGGGCCGTCTCGGGCCGTCGGAAGGCAGAAAAAAAGCAAATGCCACAATCCTTCAAAAACCCATGGGGAACCCATGATTTTGGCCTTTTCGGGCCTTCCTGGGGGCCCTCTTGGAGGCCTCTTGGGCCGTCTTGGGCCATCTTAGGGCCATGGTCGGCCGTCTTGGTGGGCTCCTGGTCCGTCTGACGCCGTCGGAAGCCGTTTGGGGGGCCTCCATGGGCCGACTTCGGGCCCTCTTGGAATGCTCCAGGGCCGTCTTGGAGGCCCATCTTGGGCGTCTGAAAGGCCTCCTGTGCCGTCTTGGGAGCCTCTTCGGGCCGTCTTGGGGCCCTCTTGGGCCGTTCTGGGGCCATCTTGGAGGCCTCTTGGGTGATTTTTCGGCGATCTTTGGGGGCCTCTTGGGCCGTGTCGGGCCGTCGGAAGGCCGAAAAGAAGCAAATGTCAAATCCGTCAAAAACCTTAGGACAATCAAGGTTTTGGGCCTCTTCTGGCCTTCCTGGAGGCCCTCTTGGGGGCCTCTTGGGCCGTCTTGGGCCAGCTTCGAGCCAACTTCGGCCATCGGAGGCATCTTGGGGCCATCTTGGCCGTTTTGGAGGCCATCTTGGGTCGTCTTGGAGACGTCTTGGATACCATCCTGGGCCATCTTGGCCGTCTTGGACGCCATCTTGGGCCAACTGGAGGAAACATATACACGACGGAGTCGTTTTGAGATCCTTTCCGGGTGGCCGGCGGGACGGGCCGAAGCCCTAGGGGGAGTTCTTTTGGAAAAAGAGCCAAAACCAAAAGCCATCTAGTCTGGCACGCCAGGCACACTTGCGATGAATCGAAAGGGGGCGGCGGATCGAAGACGCCTACGGCGAATCACCGCCGCCCCCTGCCTTTGTGGAAACGCCTATGTGGCCGAACTCTGAGGCCAGACCTGCCAAGCTATCGGACCATGTGTTCCCCGAATCGGTTTGGAAAGCCTTCGGGGAACACGTGGGCATCTTCAAGGTCATCTTGGCCGCCTGGAGGCAATTTTGACCCTTTCGGGCCTTCTTGGAGGACGTCTTGGAGGGCTCGTTGGGCCGTCTTGGAGGCCATCCTGAGCGTCTTGGAGGCCTCTTCGGCCGTCTTGGGGGCCTCTTGGGGCCGTCTTGGGCGCCTCTTGGGCCGTTCTGGGGCCATCATTGGAGGCCTGTTGGGCGATCCTTGGGCGATCTTTGGGCTCCTCTTGGGCCGTATCGGGCCGTCGGAAGGCTGAAACGAAGCAAATGTCAAAGTCCTGCAAACACCCAGGGAAATTCACTGTTTTTAGCTTTTTCTGGCCTTCCTGGAGGCCCTCTTGGAGGCCTCTTGGGCCGTCTTGGGCCAGCTGCGAGCCACCTTCGGCCATCTTGGTGGGCTCCTGGCCCGTCTGACGCCGTCGGAAGCCGTTTGGGGAGCCTTTCTGGGCCGGATTCTGGGGCACTCTTGGGGTGCTCCAGGGCGGTGTTGGAGGCCATCTTGGGCGCCTTCGAGGCCTCTTCGGCCGTCTTGGGGCCCTCTTGGGGCCGCCTTGAGGTGGGCGATCTTGAGGCGACCTTGGGGGCCTCTTGGGCCGTCTTGGGCTGTCGGAAAGCCGAAATGGCGCAAATGCCAAAATCCTTCAAACACCGAAGGAAAATCACGGATTTTCGCCTCGTCGGGCCTTCCTGGAGGACCTCTTGGAGGCCTCTTGGGCCGTCTTGGGGGCCTCTTGGGAACCTCTTGGGCCGTTTTGGGCCGTCTTGAGGCCATCGGGGGCCGTCTAGGGTGCATCGTGGGCCGTCTTGGAGGCATTTTGGGGCCATCTTAGCCATCTTAGAGGCCATCTTGGCCGTCTTGGAGGCGTCTTGGAGGCCATCTTGGGCCATCTTGGAGCCGTCCCTGCCTGCAGCCTTGGCAACTCGCACTTCCGGCAGGCCTACCGCTCAACCACGGCGGCGCTCCTTGTCCGCGCCACCGCGGGGCAGTGCATCATGCAAGTGATCGCCAAGACGGGCTGGCGGGTGTCAACCGCTGGCATCAGGCCGTCATCTTCTTGCGGGGCCGACCCGTGGGACGTGCTCGCTGGCGACCCGTCGGGTGGGTCCGTGCTCTTCTGGGGGCCCAATAGACAGCGTGTCAGCCGCCAAACCGCCAAAGGGTGAGTGAGGTCCGCAGTTCAGCTGCAGCGGCTCAGCATCCCGGCGCCGCGAACGACTCAGCTCGTTCCCACCGCCAAGGCGGACAACGCAATCCTCGTCGCCCGCGACGCGGAAGAGTTGGCCACGGGTCGACGCTGGCGACCCCTCGTTCAGGCCCAGGGCTGGCCGAGCCCGAGGCTGGCCCGCCCGCGAGCGATGACCGCGCAGACCAGCCCCCCGCGAGTGGGCGCCGCCGCCGCGGTCGCGGCTACCTGCGGGCGCCGACCTGTTGGCGGTCCTCGAACCCGCCGACGACTGGAGCGATTGCGCGCAGACCAGCCTGCGGCCGGCCACGGCCGATGCCCCCGCAATCGGCCCGGCCGCCGCCCTGGCCCTTCGCCCGCAGGGTGCCGGGCTCCTGCCAGACCGCCAGGACTTGTCGGTGCGGCCCCACCGGCTCGGCACAGCCCCCCCCGCGCAGCTCCCCAGCGGCTGCTGCCGCCATTGCGCTTGCTGCGCCGTGGCACTTCGCGGGGGGTCCTAAGCGGCGGCGCGTGCTGCCTCTTGAGTCGCGCGCCGCGCAGCCGCCTCAAGGGCTGGCCGTGCCGCTTGCGACGGCGCTGCCAGCCGCGCATGGGCCAGCGAGCTGGCAGGCTCAGCCTCTCCCGGCGGCCTCGACTCAGCCAGAGGCCCTGCCAACGCCCCCGCCGATCCACCGCGCGCTCCCCAGGACATGGCGCCGCCCCCGGGTCTTGCGAAGGCTTCGGAGCCCCCCTGCGAGGCGCCTCGCCAACGTAGCCCCCGGCTACGCCGGCTCTCGGCCACCGCGTCGCGGTCGCGACAGTGGGTAAAGCGGCGTCTCGGGCGAGCGTGGTCGCGGCCGTGGCCTCCTGGGGCCTCCGGGATGGAGTCGCCGCGGGCATGCCCCCGACGAAGGCGCCAACTCTCGTCGAGGCCCCCCCCTGGCATCGGGCCGGTGCCCCGCTGGCAGGACGGCTTGGTCCCAATCAAACCACCGCAGCCTACGCTGCGGGCGGTGGACCCTGGCTGGCCCCCGCCGCCGCCGGCGAGCGCCTCTGCGAGCGCCTTTGCGAGCGCCGCCCCGCCGCGCCCGCCGCGGGCGACGCCTGCGACCCGCCTGGGCGCCGCGGCTGGGCCCCAACTCACCCCGGGACAAGCAGCCGCTCAGGAGGCAGCTGCGGGAGGCGCTGAATCGGACAACCTCGCGCTCGAGGGCGCCGCGCCTATGCGAGGCCCCGCGCCCGAGCCTGCCGACGCCAGGCCAGAGCGCGATGGCGGCGGCGGCCCCGGGCGCCCAACCGGGGCCGCCCATCGTGCACCACTTGGCCAAAGGCGCAGGGCCCTGCGCTCCAATTTGGCACCGCGCCCCCCGCCGGCGGGGAGTCGCGTCTCCCTCCGCCGCTAAGGGGGCGCCGCTCGTGGTGTCCATCCTGCCCAGCGGGGTCCAGCCGCCGCACGCGGCGCCCTCTTTTGCTGACCCTGATCTTGGCGCAACGCGCGCCTCGACCCCTTGGCCGCCGCGCGGCCCGCAAATCGCAGGCGTGGCGCCACTTGCAGAGGTGCGCGCCGCGTGTCGCGATGCTGCGCAAGCTAGCGACGCCCCGGCGCAGCCGCGTGGCTCAGCGGCGCCGAGTGCCCCCCTCCTTCGGGGGTCGCCTCGGCTTCCTGTTCAGCCGACGTCACCTGAACAAGCGTTCGCACGGCGGAGGGCGTTGATTTTTCGCGTGCCAAGGACGCGCGATCGCCAGTCGGCGCGCCCCTGGCCGACGGGGCGGCCGACGCCGAGCGCGCGTGCGTGAGTGGCGGCTGCCGTCGCGCCCGCCGCCGCGCTGCCGCTGGGCTGCCGCTCCTTATATTTTTTCCTTTCCTCCTCCTCGCTCGCGCCCGTCGGGCGGATAGCTCAGGTGAGCCTGCCAAAGGGCACCGAGCCAATGGTCATTTTCGTTCGGGGAGTGTTCTCGGCCTCTGGGCTCCCCGCCAGCGAGCTGACCCCGCCTCCCGGGGCGGCGATGGTCCGCGTGCGTGCCGCTTGGTGGGTGCTGGCGTCGCTAGCCTGGGCGCCCAATGGGAACTGTGCGCGTGCCGACGGGTCCACGCGCGACGTTTCGTGGCAATTTTAACCCTATCCCCAGCAAGTCGCCGACTGATACGTTATGCGGCATGGGCGACGGGGCGGCGCTGACCACCTTCATCAGCGATCCACATCCTCTTGTCGAGGGGGCACCGCAATAGCTGCGCAGGGGGCCCTCGTCGACACCTGCACCGACGACCCTGCAGTAGCTTAGCTCATGCAGACGGCGCGCTTGGTGGAAGCTTGCATCCCGTGCCCTGTCCCGCGTGCGGCCCGCGGACACGCCGCCGCGGGTTTTTACCTTGCATCCCGGTATGCCGAAGCGGGCACAGATAACGCAGGCCTCTTCCGCCTGGCCCTTGCAGTCGCTGCGCGCGTCGGTGCAGCGCCTTTTTTCTGATGCATGGGCGCCAATGCCGACGTCGACCGCTCGTCGATGAATCCTTCAGGGCGCTCTCCGCCTCGGCTGGGCCTTCGTAGCCGCAGGGTGCCCAGGGGGGCGTGGCCGCGCGTTCAGCCAGTACAAAGGCGCGGATCAACGCACCGTGGAGCTGGGAACCTCCCGCATCGACTGCGTCCTTGCTACCCCCCAGGCCCGCCACCTGGTCGCCGACTTCGTTCTCCCGCGGGGCCTCCCAACGCCCCGAGGCCTCAGAGTCGCGTTGGATCTCGACCTGGGCCAGCAAAATGCCTTTCGCCTCAAGCCCACCAGGCCGCGCCTTCCCTTGCCCGACCGCATCCCGTGGCAAGATATTCAGGACTTGGGCGAGGATGTCGAGTGTGCTTGCCCCGGCGCCGTGCAGGTCGTACGGTGCCGACGATCCCAATGCCATGTTCAGGATCGCAAACGACCCGGCGCGCGGCTTCACGTGCGCGCTCAACGCGACGCGGGCATTGGTGCAGCCTCAGGCCGGCACAAGCCCTCCGAGCGCGGCAACGCCCCCACCTTCTTCGCCGGGCACGCCCTCCCCAGAGCCGTGCCCGACGACGGGGCTGCTGACCGTGTCGTACTCGAACAACAGAGATTTTTTTGCGCCACCTGGAGTCCCCAGCAAAGGTGCAGCATGCTGTGGCGGGGTCCGCCAGCTCAGCCCGCGCCGCCCTTGCCGACCGCATTCGCCGCGCGCGGGCCAGCGCCGCGCTGCTCAGCGGGCGCCTGGGTACTTAGCTTGGCGCAGCCGCCCACTTCCCAGCTCGGCGGGACCGGGCCCCCCCGGAAGGGCAACTGCTTGCTGACTTCGCGGCCCAAGTTCACGTCCGCGTCCAGCGCGACCGCGTCCGCCCCAAGGCTGGTCGCGTCCAGGAATGGACCGCCCAGATGCGCGCGTTGGACCACGGGTGCGCCAAAGCCGCGTGGGCCATGGCCGCCGGCGCCTCAGCCGCCCGCTACCTGCGCACTCCGCGCAATGGGGCTCCGCGACCCCCCTGGGATATGGGGCCCAGTCGTGAAGGGCGAGCCCTTGTCTGAAAGCGCGGCCGTCCCTGGTGCAGGCGACGACCCGTTGCGCGACGCTGACTCGCGCGCCTCGGCTGGCGACGAGCCCGACGTTTAGCGCGCCATGCATGCGGCCCACCACCGCCCCAGCGAGATGATCGCCGATGCCCGGGCGATGCTCGGACTCGCGGTCGACGCCGGGGAACCCGTCCCGCTTCTATATCGCGCCCGCGACTCCCGAGATCACGATCCGATCCCCGCGCGTGGCGCCTTCGCAGAGGAGTGCGCCGCCGAACTCCCCCCGCGCGTCCAAGCGGCCCCCTTCGCCCTCGCAGAAGACATGCTCATCGATTTCATCCGCCGCCGTCCCTCCCGACGTGTGCGCGGGCTTGGCGGTTGGGCCGCTAGGGGGGCCAGGGCTCCCCTGGGCTGACTGCCGCGGCTATTCGCTCGCACCTTGCGAGCCATGCAGCGCGCGGGTGTCGTCCATGGCCCCCCTCTCCACACCCGAACCTCTGCCTGCGCGGAGGGCGCGGTGAACTTCCGACCGGCCAGCGGCTCCTGTCCGCGATGGCGGCGTGGATGTGCGCCCGGGAAGGGCCCGCCTACAGGTCCCTAGGTAAGTGGCGCTCGCAATGGGCCCGCGCTGCCAGTTCTGGTGCCGTCTCGCGCGCCGCCGTCGGTGACGTCGGCGCTGCCCTCGCCCCGCTCCCTCCCGCTGGCTGGAGCTGCACTGGGCCGCCAAAAGTGCTTTGACTACCTCTTTATTGACGTCTGTCTCCTACTTGCCAAGCGCGCTGGATGCCCATGCGACATCGGTGACGTCTGAGCCTACTTCTACAGCAACCACAGGCGCTACGCCCGCGTGGGCAGGGGGCCTACTCGCGGCCCCTGGCCCGCGCAAACAGGCACCTGCAAGGCTGTTCTTGGTCTTCGGGCGACATCGCACTAACGGTGTGCGTCTGGGCCAGCCGCCGGCGCCCCTGCGCCTCGATGTCGCTCTGCGCTACCTTCGTCGACGACAGCCATTCCACTGCCCCCTCGGCAGCGGAGCTCGGGGAGGCGCGCTTAAGGGGTCCGAGCGGTTCGACCACTTTTCTGGACAGTGTGTGCGCCCAGTGGAAGTAGTCGGACGGGCCCTCGGCCAGACGCTGTGAGATACAGTCAACCAAATGGCGCTCCGTGGAAGACCTTTTCGCGTGCACGACCAATTTAAGCTGGTTGGCAGCCGCGTCGACGTCCGCCCCGACCCCGTGGAGGGGAAATGTGGGGCATTTGTTAGTTTTTCCTTCTCTCTCTCTCCCTCTCTCTCTCTCTCTCTTTCTCTTTCTCTTTTTCTCTCTCTCTCTCTCTCTCTCTCTCTCTCTCTCTCTCTCTCTCTCTCTCTCTCTCTCTATTTTTTTTTTTTTTTTTTTTTTTTTTTTTTTTTTTTTTTGTTTTCTCTCTCTCTCTCTCTCTCTCTCTCTCTTTCTCTCTCTCTCTCTCGCGCGCTTTCTCTCCCTCTCCTTCGCGGATGGATCCACCTCTAATGGCATCCTCCTAGGGGTGTGTCCATCCTATTAGAGATGGGCCCACCTCTGATGGAATCGACTTAGGGATGGATCGACCCCAACCAGAATCCTTTTACATGTGGATCCCCTCTGATGGACTCCAATTGCACGTGGATCCACTTCTCATGGCATCCTAATAAGGATCGATCCACGTTTAGTTGCATCCTCCTACGGATGGATGCAGCTCTGGCAAACTTCTTGTACAGACGGATCCATCTCTAATGAAATCATATTAGGGATGGAGCTACCTCTAAAGGAATCAGATTAGGAATGGATCCGCCCTTAATGGCGTCCTATTTGTGATGGATGCACTTCTAATGAAGACAGATTAGGGATGAACGCAACTGTAACAAAATCCTTTTAGCGATGGATACACCTCTACTGGTATCCTGTTACATATGGATCTATCTGTCACAGGATCCCATCAGATATGAATTCATCCCTAAGTGAATCCTACTAGAGATATATCCAGCTTCGATGGAATCCTTCTAGAGATGGAGCCAGTTTTGGCAGAATCCCACTGGAGATAGAGCTAACTCTACTAGCATCCTATTACATGCGCATACACATACTGGAATTCTGTTACATCTAGATCCACCTCTATTGGATGTCCTACTAAGACATGGGCCCACCTCTAATGGAATCGTATTACAGGTGGATCCAGCTGTACTGGGACCCTACTAGCCATGGATCCAGCTGTGTTGGGATCTTATTACAGATGGACCCAGCGCTAATTTACTCTTACTATAGATCTGTCCACCTGTCATGGAGTCCTGTCAGAGATGGATCCACTCAGTGGGATCCTATGAGGGATGGATACACCTCTCACGGAATCATCATAGGGATGTATGCACCTCTAACAGAACCTTTTAGCGATGGATCCACATCTACTGGAACCATATCAGGGAGTTGGGGCCACTTCTAACATAATCCTAACTCATATGGGTCCACCTCTAATGGGGATCCAGCTGTAATTGGGTCCTGCTAGAGATGGGTCCAGCTCTATCAGAATCGTATTACATATGGATCCGCGTCTGATAGACTCCTTTTACATCTGGACCCACCTTTCATACATATTATATTAGGAGTGGGTCCACCTCTGGTATGAGGGATGGGTCCACCTTCGATGAAACTCTGTCAGTGATGGATCCGCGTCTAATGGAAACATTTAGGGATGGAGCACCTCTGCTAGAATCCTATTAGCGATGGATCCGCCTCCTAGTGGAATCGCATTAGAGATGGATGCACCTGCAATGCAATGATATTAGCGATGGGCCCACCTCTAATTGAATCCTGTTACGGAATAAAATACAATTAGAGATGGATCCAGCTCTAACTCCTATGAGAGGTGGATCCTCCTTTACTGGCATCCAATTAGGGATGGATTTGCCTCTGACGGAATCATTTTAGGGATGGGGACCATGTTGGGGAGTTGGAACCGTTTCTAACTTAACCCTAATACATATGGATCCATGTCTTTTGGAATCGTGATACATATGGATCCAGCTGTAATTGACATCTATTAGCAATGGATCCAGCCGTCATAGGGTCCTTCTACAGATGGATCCAGCGATAATTGGGTCCCACTAGAGATGGATCCAGCTCTATCAGAATCCTATTACATATAGATCCGCCTCTGATACACTCTTTTTACACCTGGATCCTCCTTTGCTAGAATTCTACAAGGGATGGATCCACATCTACCGGGCTTATCTGAGGGATGGGTCCACCTTCAATGGAACTCTGTCATTGATGGATCCGCTTCTAGCGGAAACATTTCAGGGATGAAGCACCTCTCATAGGATCCCATTAGCGATGGATAACATTACAGATGGATGCACCTCCAGTGCAGTGATATTAGCGATGGCCCACCTCTAATTGAATCTTGTTACGGATGGATTTACCTCTAACAGAATCCCATTAGAGATGGATCCAGCTTTGACTTTTATTAGAGATGGATCCACCTTTAATGGCGTCCAAGTAGGGGCGGATTCGCCTCTAACGGAATCATATCAGGGATGGATGCACCTCTAATAGAATCCTATTAGTGATGGGTCCACCTCTAATGGAATCCTAATACACATGGATCCAGCTGTACTTGAAAACTATTAGCAATGAGTCCAGTCGTCATAGGGTCCTACTACAGATGGATCCAGCGATAATTGGGTCCTGCCAGAGATGGATCCACCTCTAACAGAATCTTATTTCAGATGGATCCGCCTCTGATCGACCCCTTTTGCACCTGGATCCACCTCTGATTTTATCCTACTAGGGATGGATCCACATCTAATGGAATCATATGAGGGATGGATCCACCTTCGATCGAACTCTGTCAGTGATGGATCCGCTTCGAATGGGAACATTTTAGGGGTGACGCACTTCTAATATAATCCCATTGGCGATGTATCCACATCTAATTGAGTCATATTAGGGATGGATGTACCTATAGTAGAATGATATTCGCGGTGGGCCCAGCTCTAATTGAATCCGGTACGGATGGATCTACCTCTATTAGAATCCTATTAGAGATGTACCCAGCTCTAACTCCTAGTAGCGATGGATCCACCTCTAATGGAATCCTATCATAGGTGGATCCAGCTCTAATGACATCCTATTAGCGAGAAACCTTCCTCGGGTGGAAACCTGATAGAGATGGATCCACTTGTATTAGAATCGTATCAGCGATCGATCCAGATCAACTTGAATCCTAGTTCAGATGGGTCCACCTCTATGGAACCATGCTAGCGATGGATCCACCTGTCATGGAATCCGATTGGGGATGGATCCACCTCTCATGGGGATCGTATGAGGGATGGATTCCCTGCACGTGGAATCCTACGAGGGATGGGTTCACCTCTAAGAGAAACACATTAGGAATGGATGCGCCCCTGATAGAATTCTGTGTGTACTCCACACAATACACATACACGTGTAAACCATCCGCAACAGGAGTCCTATAGAAATCCCAGCCCGCACCCCAGGATTCTTCTTGTAATCCGCAACCAAAGGGATCCTTCTGCATGGCGCCCACCAAATGAATCCCATTGACAAGCCTTACAAAAGGATTCGACTTGTAATCCATGCAATAGAAGATCTAGGTGTAAATCGCCCACAACTGGAATCTAATTGGATAGCCGCACAAAAGGATTCTATTTGCAATCCGCGCGCTGCAAATGTATTTGTAAATCGCCCACTAAAGGAATCCTTCTAACCAAACCGTACAAAAGGATTCTATGTGTAATCCAGGCAATAGAAATTTGTAAATCGCCCACGACAGGAATCCTAATGAAAAGCCACACAAGGATTCTGTTTGTAACCCATGCAATAGAAATGTAGGTGTAAATCGCCCACTGAAGGATTTCCTTTGAAAGGAAACCAGAAAAAGTTCTGGACCCTCGGGAAAAAGAGCAAGAACATAAAAACCGAAAATGCGCACCGCCCCCATCTTGGTTTTTTCCAGAGGATCCACAACTTTTCTGGCCCCCTTTCAAAGGAAACCTTTTTGTGGGCGATTGACACATATAATCTATTGTCTGGATTGCACATAGAATCCTTTTGTGTGGCTTTTCAATAGGATTCCTTTTGTGAGCGATGTGCAAATCTATTTCTTGTGTGTGGAATGCACTTTTAATCGTTTTTGTAGTGCTTTTCAATCGGATTTCTTCGGTGGGCGCCGTGTGACAGTTTTCCTTGCGTGGCGGATTACAAAAGAGTTGGTTCAGTCTGTGGCGGGTGAAAACATAGAAGGAATAAGGAACATAAGCCGAACAATCAAAATAAACCCAACAGAGCAACATGCACCACCAAAGTGGTTCCCACATAGTCCCAGATTTCCCCCTTGCCCCCGACCCCCCCCTGACCAGCTCTACCTGTCGGCCCCTGCGGACGCCCATGTCCGGAGAATCTTCCCGAGGGCTTGGGGCAGAAAGCGCGCGCGGCCAGGCCGCTTGTCGCCGGCGTCTGCACCGCGGGCGCCTGACGCGCAGGCGCCCTCGACGGCCGCCGCTGGCGCCTTCGGTAAGGCACTCCTTGCAGCTCTCAGGTCCCGCGGGCGTTCACGGCTCTCCTACTGGGCCGCGATGACCATCTGCGTGACAGGCCATGCCTTCGACCTTGCGGCCATCGCGCAGTGGGAGGTTCTCTGCGCTGTCCGCAGACAGGTCGACCGCGACAGCCGGCTCAGCCGCGTTTTTGACGACCTTCGCCTGGCAGTTCAAACTAGGCCAGGCGGTGGTCCCATCGGCCGACTGTTTCAGGCCCTCGACCAGCTCGACTGGGCCTGGCCTACCAGCGGCATCATGTACGACGACTGGGGCACTGCCATCGCGTGGCTCACCCTCTCGCCCGGCTGTCTGGCCCGCGTGCTCCGGGCGTCCCAGAGGCGGTCTTTCTTGCGAAAGATAACCCCCTCCGGGCACGACCTCGGCTTCCTCGCGCGAGTGCCCCAAGGGATCGACGCGTGCGCCCCCGCGACCTCCCGCGCACCAAGGGCCGACTCAAGTGCGTGCCCCGGCAAGCGGGGCCCTCATCAACTACCTGGCTGGACGCGATCGCGCGCGGCGGCGCCCCCGCTGTGCCAGATGTAGCGCCGACGACCCCCCGCCATGTTGACGCTGCGACCAGGAGGAAGAGACGCAGAAACGCATCTTGTGGCGATGCCCGTGTTGGGCCCGCCAGTGCCGAGCCCTATCCGCCGTGGTCTCCGACCACCATTGGGCCCAGTTCTCGCCGCGCGCGCGCGTCGCTGCGGCCTGCCGTCGGAGGGCCCCCGTGGTCTCGACCTGCAGCGGGCCCTGGCGCAGGGCCCGTTCCAGCAGCCGGCCCCGCGGCCCCCGCCAGACCACGGGCAGGGCACGTGGCAATGACGTTCTGACCCAGACGGCCCGCGCTGGGACTACGCGGCCACGGACAGGGCCTGCTCGCGCCAGGTCCCCCCGCTGCTCGCTCGGGCAGGCTTCGGAGTATTATGCGGGGCCGATCGCCATCTCAACTACTCTGCCAGATCGACTCCGTGGGCTGGCTCCGTCCGCCCAGTGCGCTGAGACCGTGGCCCGTCTCCGCGCGGTGTCTACCGCCGGAAGACCAGTCCACGTCTTCGTGGACAATCAGACGGTGCGCGACACCTTCGAGCTCAAGCTCAGCGGTGCCCAGCCCCCAGCCCAGGGAGAGCAGGCAGATCCCTGGATGCGAGTGCGTCCAGCTGCCCACTTTCGCCGCGACGTCTTCCGAGTTTAACAAGTCACCAGTCGCGAAGGCGAAGAAGGGGTCACTGCCGGGATGCTTGCAGCCGCCGCTGAATATTTCCACAGAAAGCCAGACGAATTGGCCCATGGGGCGGCGGCGCTCCGCGCCGTGCCTGAGACTCCGTGCGACGCTGCCTAAAAAAGTTCCAGGCTGGCGGTGACTCTCCGCACCGCCGCGATCATTATCTCCGACAAACCGTCCACGGGCCTGGCGCGCTCATGCCGAACTCGGGCGAATAGAACCCCGCCCACGGGTGGGCGCAACAGCCGACCCCCTGGCGCCCTCGGCTGACGATTGGGCTCAACCGATTTCGGAGGAGGATGCTCACCCGGCGCTTCGCGGCCTCCCATCGTCCCTCGGCGGCCCCGGCAACGCGCCGGCCAACGACGACGGCGACCCCCTCGGCCTTGGGGGGGCCACGCGCGCCCCTCTGGAAGACAGCGCGCCTCCTCTCGGCGCGCAGCCCAGTGGCGGATCGCCCGAGGTTCCGCCCCGCGCGCAGGGCCCGCCTCGGGCGCAGCCCTCCCTCGACATCACCTGTGCGCCGACCGCGCGCAGGGCCCCCCACGGCGAAATTGACGATCCACTCCCACCCCCAGTTCCAAGTGGAACTCAACGTGACAGCAGCCACGGCAGGGAGCACACCTCACCGAGTCACCGCGCGCCACAAGCCAGCTGACCCGCTGGCCCAACGCCCCATGGAGGCCAGAGCAAGATGGGTTGACCACCTCGTTCGTATTGCCCCCTGGTGACCCCCAGACCTCTGTGATCCCGACAGAGGCGAACAAATGTGGATTTCTGTACTGCGTCGAGGAGGTCGTCCGTGCTCTCCAAACGGTGGCCTTCGTAGGATTCTACATAGACTTACCGCCGTGGGAGGCGACCGACCTCCAGAGGCGGCGCGCACATGAGATGTACCAAGAAGCTTGTGAACGAGGCGACCAGGGGCGCCGCGACCGTCGCCGACGCATTTCCGCGCTCTCGGGCCACGCGCGCTAAACCGTGCAACCCAGCAGATGAACGACGCGCGCCGCGACGCTATGGATGCCCGCTTGGGCCGCCTCGACCCCCCGCCGGGATGCCGAGGGCGCCGCCAGCCCACTGGGGTCTTCCCGCCGTCCGCGGCCCCGCCCATCCCACCAGAGCGTGATGCGCCGCGCCCAGATGCGGCGCCCTCGCGCGGGCCCGCTCCGCGACAGCGGCGCGACCGCGAGGCTATGTTTTCTTTCGACGGGCACCGCTGGTTCAGGCGCGCGGACCCCTTTGCTCGTGATGACGGGCCAAGCGACTCTGGCCCCCAAGGATCGATGGGGCCCGCCCGATCCAGCACCTGGCACCGCCACGGGCGCCCCCCCCGGCGTTGACCTCGCGGGGGCAGCGCAGCGCAGCCCCCCGTCCCACCGTCGAAGACGCCGCATGCCCGGTTTCGCCGGTGCGGGGGAGCACAACAGCGATCTCCTCATGAGCAACGCCAGCAATTCTTCCACGGGCGACAGGGAGCCCCCCCTGTCGATTCCAGGGCCACACCTTCTTGGCCCAGCCCGCCACGGCCGCCAGCCGTCAGTCGCAGCTGCACCGAGCCAGTCACGCAACCTCCCAGGCTCAGCCTCGGGAGATGGGGCCATCTCGGCTCTCGCGGCTCACGAACCAGCCCAGCCTGCCGGGCCGGCCGGCAGCGTGGTGCCTCTGGGCCCGTGCCAGAGCGCGGCATCCTGCGACCCCCGACCAGTCAGCACGAGCGAAATGGCCACGTTCTACGGTTCTCTACCGCCGCCGCCGCGCGTGATCCTCCGCGCGAGCGATACCTATGGAGTCCCAACGCTGACTCCTTGCTGCCTGTCACCGACCCCGACCACTTCTTCTGGCGACTGGCCGAAAATGGTGGCATGGGCCCTCCTCCTGCCAGCAGCGCGGCGCCCCTTGCCCGCCTCCGCCGGTGGCCCCCTGCCTGCCTCGCCATTTATGGTCCTCCTTCGCCGCGAGAGCCCCGGCCGCCTCAGGCGCGCCCCGCGCTCTCTGGGTCCCCCCGCCCGCTCGGGCTCGGGCGGAGCGCTGGGGAAGCACGCCCGTCGCGCGCAGGGGGCCCCAGGCACGCCGCCCAGGCGGCCGTGCTGGCCCCCCCGCCCGTCGCAGGGACGAGCCGCTCGGGCCCGAGCTCGGCCCGCGACAGAGCGTCAGACCGTTGGGCGCGGCCCGAGCGCCAGCTCGATCACGTCCAGTCCCTTCCCGACCACGTTCGCCGCACAAGCCGAGAGCGCCTCAGCGCGCCGCGTGAATTTCTCACGCCACCGTCCAGCGTCGGGCCTCGCTCGCCCCTTCGGCGACGAGTGTCTCCGCCTCCGTCGCAGCCGCCCTCCGCGTGGCCCAAACGCTTCTCGCGAGCTGACCTCCTCTTCGAGGTCGCGCGCCGCCTGGCACGCGCCCACTGTGGCCATCCCCGCTGCAGGTCCTGAAGGGTTGCTGGATGTATGCCGCCACTTCCGGCGAGGTACCGTCACGCCAAAGACGGGTGCCGGCTTCGCTGAACCCCTCATGTGGGCTCGGATGGCTGCGATGCAGAGTCCCAGCCTCAGCCTTTGCTCGCTGGGAGGGGGGGCCCTCGCCCCTCCCCTCCCCTCTTCTCCTGGCCGTCCGCCCAAAACGGGCGTGTAGGGCCCCTTGTGGCCGATTCGCTCCTGCCACGGAGCGGGGCGCGCCAGCCGCTTGCCGCCGGGCGCCCGCTCGGACACGCGCGCGAATCGGTTCGATCTCTGAGGCCTTCTTGGAGCTATCTTGGGCGAAAGTGGACCCTCTGATCCCTCGCGAACCCCCCCGTCCAAGTCCAGGGGAGGGGGTAGGGGTCAAGACGCCCTCTCCGCATGCAAGCCGTCTAGCTCACTCCCACCTGCCCTCCCACCATATACGTGGCATCCGAATCTCGGCATAGCCAGGGGTCGCCACTGGATGGACAGCCGCTGGGAACCAAAGCGGACGCCAGGTGCGCGACGCTCGCCGCGGGCTCCACATGCGGTTGGTGTGCCATCCTGGTAAAAAGCGTGATGCCCCCCGTCCGCATGGTCCAGATGCTGATGTGGGGGGCGCAATGTCTTGGGCCTGCGCACAGCAAGCATCATCATGCGGGAACCACCGCCGTCCCTGTCAAAAAACAATCCAACGTAATCGCGGGTAGCCAGCACAATGCCCACGACGCTGTCGCAACGTGCATTTTGCATTGTTTTTGACACGGATGGTGGTCTTGCACAAAGCGGCTTAATTAAGGGTGTTTCGCCATCCCTCTCAGAAAAAAGACAACGTGCTTGCAGGGCGCCAGCGCACCGTCCAGATTTTGCTGCAATGTGCACTTCGTATTGTTTTTTTGGTAGGGATTGTAGAGGGTGTTGGCAGGATGGGCCCCGCAATGTGTATTTTGTGTGTATATATATATATATATGACAGGAGTGGTGGGCGGGTGCCCGCACGGTTCCGGGTTGGCTGCCGGCCAGGTGGGGGATGGGGGTGTTTATTAATAGGGAGCAGTGACCAAGACACCCCCTAGATAGCAAGTCGTCTAGCTCACTCCCACCCGCCCTCCCAACGCATAAGTAACACCCGAGCCTGAGCATGTTCAGCGGTCGTCTTTGGATGGGCAGCTACTGGGAACCCAAAACCGACCCCATGTCGCGACGGTGGGGAGAGGTGCGCCGCGCGTGCCAGGCGCGCCACGCGCGCCAGGCTCCCCTGTGGCCCGAGCGTGCCAGGCACGCCTGCTGCACCAATTGCGCCACGTGCTCCGCGTGCGCCAGGTGTGCCGCAGACTCCAGCCTCGCCAGGTGCGCCACGTTCGGGTCACATGCAGAGTCTGTCAGGTGCGCCGGCGCACGTTTCAGCGCACATCGGGAACATGTCGGCCCCCACCATCCTTGTCGAAAACCAATGCACATCGTTGGTTCTGGTGGGCCTGCGCGCAGCAGGCCATACTCCACCCCCGCCGTCCCTGTCAAAATCCACTTGACAGTGATTGCGGGGTGGCCGCGCACTATCCAGATTTAGCCGCGGGGTGCAGTTTTTTGAGTTTTTTTTGGTAGGGGTGGTAGCCCTGCGCGCAGCAGGCAAGATGCTGACACCTCCACCGTCTCTATCAAACACAAAACGAAGTGCTTGCGGGCCTCACGAATATGAGTCAACATTTTGCCCCAAAGTGTAATGGCAGGGATGTGGGGGGGCCGCATCGGGTTGGCCGCGCATGCTCCAAATGACGAGGCAAAATGCGTTCTATACTGTTTTTTGACGTGGATGGTGGGGGTGTGGGGGGGGGGAACATGGTTCCTGGTTGGCCGCCGGTCGCCTGGGGGAGGGGGTGTATATTAAGTGGGAAAAGTGATCAGCCCCTCCCCGAGGGGGAAAAAGGGGTTGTGGAAGAGGAAAGACAAACATCGTTAGACCACTTGTCGCCCAGATGGCTGGTGGGATTTGGTGAGCATTCGCCATCCTCATATTGTTCGACACGTTTCAACCGCGCCCGCTAACATGTCCCATCCGAGATTACAAGGCGGGAGCGTGGATCTCTTGGGTCGGCGCCGCACCCCTCTTCCTTGCCAAGGGGGGCTCCGCCGCCGATCCAAGAGATCTGCGCGGAGCTCCGACAGTTTCTGCTCACGTGCTGCTGGGTCTTCCAGCCCAGGTGTTGCCTCTCAATACTGGCTGGAGCAGGGGGCGGGAAACACATTCGAGAGACCCCCTCGTGGATGGCTGCCGCCTCGCCGCGGACCGCCAGACGAGGGCTGGGGACGGCGACGAAGTTGACGACGCACTCGACGCAGCTGACGGCGCAGCCGACTGCGCAGCCGACGATGCAGCCGCTAGTGCAGGAGATGGACGACGAGGAACCCGATGACGGCGACGACGATGACGACGACGACGACGTGACGACGACGGTGAAGGCGACGGTGACGGCAGAGAAGACGGCGGCGACGACGACGACGACGACGCCGCAGCCTGAGGTGGTGACGTGTCGGCGACGCCAGCGGTGACGACGACAATGCTGGCGCAGTCGGCAGCCGTCTCGCCGCCGCGAGCGGCGGGCGGGGAGCCCGGCGGGGATGGCCGCTCTGGGCACCCTGGCCCGCGGCGCCGCGCGGCGTGGCGTCGCGGCGCGCCCTTCGCGGCCGCTGGCGCAGGTGTGCCAGCGGCCATCGCCGCCGTCGCCATCAACGCCTCGTTGCCGACGGCGCCGTTGTTGCCGCCGCCTCTGTCGACGCCGCCGCCGCTGCCGCCGCCGCCATCGACGCTGTCGCCGTCGACGTCTCGCCGCCGACGCAGCCGCCATCATCACCGTCTCACCCCGCCGTCTCGCCGTCGACATCGGCGCCGCCGTCGTCGTCTCCCCACCGCCGCGTCCGTCAAAGTCGACGTCTCGCCGATGCGCCGTTGGTGGCGAGACGTCGGCGGCGGTCGCCAGCGCCCTGTGCTGGCCAGCCGTGTGCGGCCGTCAGCGTTGTCGGCGGTCGTCGGCGTCGTCGGCTGCGTCGTTGTCGGCGCTGCCGTCGTTGTTATTTTCTTCCTCTTGCTCCCGTCCTCCTCCCCCTCCCCCTACTCGAGAGGCCTACGTACGCCATTCCGCCGACCCCCAGACGAAGTAAGGCCTGGTGGGCGTTTTCAAGCCTCGTCAGAGTTTCCTGGGCGCTTGCTGGCTATTGGGAAGGCCTTGCGGCCGGTGCCGTCGACCCTGAAGGGGGACGACGACCACGACGGCGGCGTCGGCTGCGATGACAACGCAGACGTGGGGCAGAGAGCTCAGTGATGCTTCGTGGGACTTCTTCGGAGCGCGCTCGCCTCAGGGGGGCAGTTTTGGGGCCTCTAGGGGCCTCTTAGGGGCCTCTCGGGGATCTTTTGGGGCCTCTTGGAGTCCTTTGAGGCCTCCTGGGGGCTTCTTCGGGCGGAAGGCTCGGATTTTCGGGTCGCGTTTCCTCTCATGTGCCTTTCTTGGGGCCGTCTTGGAGCCCGCGTGGGCCGTCGTGGGCGCTTGGAGCACTCTTGGGGAGTCGTGGGGTTCTCTTGGGAGCCTCTTGGGCCATCTTGGGGCGCTCTTGGGTGCCTGTTGCGCTGTTTTTCAAGAGCGTCGGAAGGTGAACAAAGCAAAAATCAAATAGCATTTCAAAGCTATTGATTTGTGCCTTTATTTAATCGCTTCGCTCATTCCGCCGGCCCATAATGCGTAATCGCTGGGGTTTGGCTGCGCGTCTGTGAGCCATGCTGCGCTGATGGGGGGTGGGGGACGTTGTTTTCGGTGGTGGGTGCACCAGTCCGGTGTAGTTGGTTCGACGTTTGCGGCTGTCAGTGGTTTATGGCGCCATCGTCTGCTCTCGTGGGGCTCGCGGATGGTGGTTTGGCGCGGTCCGCCAATGGAGCCCCGCTTTCTGGAGGTTCCAGGGTTCGGTCGGGCTTTGCCTGCGGTTGCCTCGGCGTGTTTAGGGGTGCTCTGTTTGTGGTGCGAGGGTGTTGGAGTCAGTGGTCTTCGTACTTGGATGCATCGTTTGCAATTGTGGGTCCGTTCGCATACGGTCATGCCTATGGTCGGGGAGGGGAGCTGGGAGCCTCCGCCGCTTCGGGAAGCATCCTCGTCGCCGCCGTCGTCGTCGTCGTCGTCGTCGTCGTCGTCGTCGTCGTCGCCGTCCTCGTCGTCGTCGTCGTCGTCGCCGCGGTGTGCCATGTGTTGGTGAGCTCGTGGCGAGCGAAAAGGAGGAGGAGGGAGGCGGGGAAAATCTTGTATCAATTGTGCTTTATGTTGGCGTGCTCGTGGCGAGCGAGAAGGAGGAGGAGGAGGAGGGGGACATTTGGGAGCCAAGTTTGGTCGTGGACAAGACGCGTTTTTAGAGGCCGTTTGTTTAGGGGTCTTCTGGGAAGACTTTCTTTCTTCTTTTCTTTCTTTCTTTCTTTTTTTTTCTTTTTTTTTTTTTCTTTTTCTCTTTTTTTTTTTTTTTTTTTTTTTTATCTTTTTTTCTCTTTTCTTTTTTTTTGTTTTTTTTTTTTTTTTTTTATCTTTTTTTTCTTCCTTTTTTCTTCTCGAGGGCCTCTTGGCGGTATTTCTAGAGCCTCCTGGGGCCTCCTGGGGGCCTCTTGGGGCCTGTTGAGGGCCTCTTGGGGCCTCTCGGGGGCCTCTTGGGGGCGTTCTGAGGTCTCCTGGGGACGTCTTGCGGCTTAGAGCGCGAAATGTCCGTTCTGGTCCCCCGTCGGGGCCCGGTCTTGGAGCCGTCTTCGGTTTGGAGCCGTCTGGAGGCATCTTTGGGACATTCTTGGGGGTCTACCGGTACTTTAAGTTTGTTGCAGGCTACTTTCGGTCACCTGGATGGGCTCTCCGCCTTAGGTGCTTGTCACCGCTCGATTACGGGGGGTCTCTTAGGGCTCTCTGGGGTCCTTCGGAACGGTCTTGAACCCTCGTAGGCCGTATTGGGGCGATATTGAGGGCTTTGTGGGCCGTCTTGGAGCGCTAGGAAGCCGAAGAGGCGAGAACGCCAAAATCCTCAAAAAAGCAATGAAAATCATCAATTTTGGCTTCTTGGGGGCCTCTTGGGAGGTCTCTTGGACGCATCTTGGGGCGTCTTGGGAGCATCTTGGGGCCTCTTGGGGGCGTTATGAGGTCTCCTGGGGACGTCTTGCGGCTTAGAGCGCGAAATGTCCGTTCCGGTCCCCCGTCGGGGCCCAGTTTTGGAGCCGTCTTGGGGGCATCTTGGGCCATCTTGGAGGTTTCTGGGGGTCTCTTAGGGCCCTCTGGGGTCGTTTCGGAACGGTCTTGAACCCTCGTAGGCCGTATGGGGGCGATATTGAGGGTTTTTTGGGGCCGCCTTGGAGCGCTAGGAAGCCGAAGAGGCGAGAACGCCAAAATCCGGAAAAAGTAATGACAATCATAAAGTTTGGCTTCTTGGGGGCCTCTTGGGAGGTCTCTTGGACGCATCTTGGGGCGTCTTGGGAGCATCTTGGGCCGTCTTGAGGCCATCTGGGCCGTCTTGGGGCGCTCTTGGCTTCAGGCTGCTGGGCCTGCCACATATTTGGCGTCTCCTTGGAGCGCTCCTGGAGCGCTCCAGAGGCCTCCAGGGCCGCGCCCAGGAAGTCCGGCATCTCTGACCCCCACCCTCCCGGGACATGCCGGGGTACTTTTCGCCCTGGGGCTCCTAGGGGCCGCCCTGCGCGCGCGCGAACTAGAAATACTGTTTACCTGTTACTGGAGATCTTAGCACGCCCTGGCCCGTTGGGCTGGCGAATTTCTGGCCTTTTGGGGGTCCTCTGGGAACGCGCTTGAAGACTCTTGGGAGAGTCTTGGGCCGTCTTAGGGCCATCGTGGGCATCTTGAAACGCTCGTGGGCCGTCTTAGAACCCTCTTAGGTACTCGTATGCGTTTGTTGGGTCGCCGCAGGGAGGCAGGCCGTCGTATTTGACCTGGGTGCAGCCCCCGGGACCCCCCCCGCCCGGGACCCCCCCCCATCCAGGCGGGTCCGAATTGCGCTGAGGGGCGATCGTGTTGAAAAATGAACGAATGACGGAGAGGACGAGTCGATCGGAAGAGCCCCTCACACACGCCGACAGGCGCATGGACTGCCTTCAAATGTCCAGGTGCGTGGGAGGAGTGGCCGTCGCGCAGTCGTTACTCTGCGCATGGGGCTCTCTCATTCTGAGCTTCTCGGGATGGAGTGCTGAAATATGATGCGCGTCGTGCATGAAGCGAGATGCTCCCGGAGTGACGTCGCGGATGGTCGACATAACCTTCGCATTTTGGGATTCGAATAATGAAGGAGAAGGAGGATAATGCCGACATGCACGACAGTGAGAGGAAGGAGGAAAGGAGGAGGATATCGATGACGACGGGACGGTTTGTGATGCTGTCCAGGCTTTGTTTCTTTGGAGATTCTGAGGAGATTTCGGGAAGCCTTGTTTGAGAATGTATGAAACCACCTGGAGCCATGGGGGCATCTTAGGGGGCCTGCTGGCGGCCTGGGTGGCAGCCTCTTGGAGCTCTGTCGATGCTCCCAGGGGGTTTGGGGAGCCCTTTGGGCTTTTTTGGGGGCCTCCTCGATGCTTTTTTTGGAGCTTTGTCGATGCTCCCAGGGGGTTTGGGGAGCCCTTTTGGAGGCCCTGGGAGCCCTTCTCCTGAAACCTGTTGGGGGTCTTGGGGGCCATCTTCTGGGGGAGGGCTCCCAGGGCCTCTGCGGATTCCCCCTCTTGGGCCTCTCACGGGGCCACGTCGGGTTGTTTTTTTGCTGTCTCGGGGGCGTTGTGGGCCGTCTTGCGGCTCTCCTTGGCCGTCTCCGGGGCCGTTTTGAGGGTTTCTTGGGCCGGCTTTGGCCAGTCTGGGGGGCCTCTTGGGTCGTCTTGCGCGCGCATACGCCAGAGAGCCGAGGCCGCGAACATCACACAGAAGCTATTAGGAAATTCATGTCTTGTGTCTCTTGAGGCCATCCGGGGGGGGTTCTCTTGGGGCGTTCTTCCGGCGTCTTCGGCCGTCTTCAGACTGTCTTGGGTGCTCTTGAGGCTCTTCTGGCGTATTGGAGCTTTTCTCCGTCTCCGTCTCCGTCTCCCTCAGGATGGCCACGATGTGACCGAGGGACGGCCGGCGGACCTTGAACAAATACTGACGGGGGGGCTTGGAGGACGACGGGCGACGACGAGGAACCATGGACAAAAACCCCCGGCAGGGCACCGGAGGCCCAGAGGAGAGGGAGGGAGGCGCCAGTGGAGGATCAGCCGGCCCGGGGGGGAGGACGGAAGGGGGCCGGGAGGGAGTGGAGAGTAGAGGAGACAGTGGGGGGGCCCAAAGACCCCGGACGCGAAAGGAGCACGCCAATTCTCAGCTCTCTCCCCTCTCTCCCTCTCGCGCCAAGGAACCCACCATCCCATACCTGCAACATGATCGGGCACATCCTTCCCGACCCTTCCTACCTATCCCCAGTGGACCCCCTGCACCGCGCCAGAAGGAAACAATGTGGCGGCACCAAAGCGAGAGAGCAAGCTGGTCCTCGAGTTTCAGCTCCATGCACGGCCCATTGCTCCACCCGCCCCCGACGGGCCACTGCATCCGGGGGCGGGCGGGGTCACCCCTCACGCCCGGCCGCCGGGGGGAGTGCCCCCGCGGCAGCAGCACCTCCGCCGCCCCCAGGCGCCACCGGGGCGGCTGCCGCAGGCGGCGTGCCACCGTCGCAGGGTGGCTATTCTCAAGATTGGAGCTCTCGCTTGGGGCTTCCTTGGACTTCCTGACCACAAGCGTGCACCTGCGAAACAGTATCACGGATGGAGGGCGGTCCTTTTTCGGCACGGGCATCTCGCCGGACATCTCGTCGAGTTTTATGATCGTAGTTTTCCGCGTGCTTGAGTACGCGCCAGAAATATGCAATGCAGTTCCTTCTCAAAGCGGGGCCCTTGCCAAAATGGCAGGCCCGACTTCGCTGGTCTTTCAAGGGGTGGTGTGCGCTTCTTGTAGTGACAAGGAAAGCTTGTGGGGCCGTGGGGACTTGGCACGAGAGGGTGTACTGCAACGTCACTGATGCATCTTGGGTTCATTCTGGTCCTCTGCCTCCGCCTCCTCCTTTTCCTCCCCCTCCTCTTTCTCCATTCCTTTTCCTTATAAGTAAATTCTTCCTGTCGCACCCCGAGGCCGATTTTTGGGCGGGCCGGGCGTTTCGGCTGAGACTTCTGACTATTTCTGATTATGGAGCTTGAATTTGGGCAACAGTTTCACAGATGGAGGGCGGGTGTTTTTTTGCATGTGGCTCTCGCCTTAGCGCCGCGCACATTCGTTTTAAAAGCTTGCAAGAGGTCCACGGATTGAGGACAACCCGTTTTAAGAATGTGGCTCTCGCCTTAGCGCCGCGGGCATTCGTTTTGAAAGTGTGCAAGAGTTTCACGGATTGAGGACAAGCCGTTTTCAAAATGCGGTTTTCGCTTTAGCGTCGCGCACATTCGCTTTCAAACAATTCCAAGAGTTCCACGGATTGAGGGCGGTTCCTTTTCGAAATGTGGCTCTCGCCTTAGCGCCGCGCGCATTCGTTTATCATATTCGCGAGACTTTCACATATCCTCTTGACCAACGTACCAGAAATGGTGTTTAGGAAGAATTCAGGATTTTGCAGGTGCAACAGTTACGTTGGTTCGCGGTGTTGAGATCCCAAGGATGGCGCTCTGGCACCATCCAGGATCGTCAAGACGCGACAGTCAGGTTGATCCGTGGCGTTGGAATCCCGAGAACAATGTTTTGGCATGCTTCAGGGTCTTCAAACGGTTGTCTTCCAACGAGGCAGTTCCCTCAATGGAGATGGACCGTTGTAGGGGCCTATGAAGAGGGAGCTTGGAAGGAGGGTGTATTCCAACATGGTTGATGGCTCTTGGGTTTACACTGGCCCTCCTCCTCCTCCTCCTGCTCCTACCCTTTTCCCTCCGTCCTTTCCTCCCTCCTTTCCTCCTTCCCTCCTCCCTTCTCCTCCCCCTCCCTCTTCCCTCTTCCCTCCTCCCTCCTCCCTTTCTCCATCTCATCCCGTCTCACCCTCCCCAGCGTTGCCCCGCTCGCATCGACCTCGGTGTCGACGACGGCTCGCATCGACCTCGGTGTCGACGACGGCGACGATGGCTGCAGCGGCAACGGCGGCCACGCCGACGACGGCGGCAACTTTTGCGAGACGGCGCCGAAGCGGCGGCGGCAGCTGCTGCGGCGGCGGCGGCCGCGTCGGCTGCGGCCGCTGCGTCGGCAGAGAAAGTGGCGGCTGCGGCGGCGAGCCGAAGGCCCCGATCGCGTGCCGCTTCCTGAGTGCCCTGAAGGGCCAGGGCGGCGGCGGTGCGCCGCTGGCGCAGGCGAGCGCCCGCGCGTCGCCGTCGCCGCGGCCGTAGCCGTCGCCGTCGCCGTCGCTGCCGTCGTCGCCGTTCCTTTGTCGTCACTGTCGTGGACTTCGCCGCCGCCGTCAGCACGGTCGCAGCCGCCGCCGTCTCCGTTGCCGTTGCCGTCGCTGTCGCCGTCGCTGTCGTCGTCGTCGTCGTCGTCGTCGTCGTCGTCGTCGTCGTCGTCGTCGTCGTCGTCGTCGTCGTCTTCGGAGAACAACATGGTTGAAGAGTTGCCTCGCAGTTAGTTCTTTTTATCCGTAAGGGCTTCGCCCCCTGCCGCCGGCCCCCTCTCTCGGAGAATGGGCCATGGAAGAGCTAAGTCATGAGGCTGTGGCGCTGTCGTGCAGCAGTATCGGAACTTCATGCGAGGCCGATTCGCAATCGGCAAAACCAACTGATCACAAGAGGGGTTACCACACAGGGCGATTGGTAAGACGTGTATGGTTTACGAGCTTGGTTACCACACCTTGGGATTAAAGGGCCGAGGGATCACTCGCAGTTTGGGTTACCACGCCTTGCGATGGATGTGCGTGAGGGGTGGCACCGAATTTCAGAAATGTAGCAAATCCCCTGTGTTTTTGGACCCTGACCCCGCGGATCTGCGTGAGGGGTGGCACCGAATTTCAATAATGTGGCAAATCCCCTGTGTTTTTGGACCCTGACCCCGCGGATCTGCGTGAGGGGTGGCACCGAATTTCAATAATGTGGCAAATCCTTTGTGTTTTTGGACCCTGACCCCGCGGATCTGCGTGAGGGGTGGCACCGAATTTCAGAAATGTGGCAAATCCCGTGTGTTTTTGGACCCTGACCCTGCGGATGTGCGTGAGTGGTGGCACCGAATGTCAGGAATGTGGCAAATCCTTTGTGTTTTTGGACCCTGACCCCGCGGATCTGCGTGAGGGGTGGCACCGAATTTTAATAATGTGGACAATCCCTTGTGTTTTTGGACCCTGACCCCGCGGATCTGCGTGAGGGGTGGCACCGAATTTCAGAAATGTGGCAAATCCCATGTGTTTTTGGACCCTGACCCCGCGGATCTGCGTGAGGGGTGGCACCGAATTTCAGAAATGTGGCAAATCCCTTGTGTTTTTGGACCCTGACCCCGCGGATCTGCGTGAGGGGTGGCACCGAATTTCAGAAATGTGGCAAATCCCATGTGTTTTTGGACCTTGACCCTGCGGATCTGCGTGAGGGGTGTCGATTTCGAGCCCCCCCAGCAATTCAGACAACGCGCCCAGGAGACGCTTAAAATTCCGTTTGGGCCTCCCCCTCCTCGCGCGGTCAATCAACTAGTTACAGTAACCAGCAAGAAGCAGAATTGTAACACTGGAAACTACAAGCTACAACTGGTACAGGAAACTGCGAACCCGTGCCTCGCAGCCTGGTGGCCCCACAAGGGGGCCGGCGGACTTTCTTTTGTTTTTCGTGGACATTCACAAGGGTTTCGGAAAGTTCTGGGAGGGGGCAAGTGGAGAGGTAAGAGGGGCACTTGTTCTGGTAGTTTCAGGTTTTTCCAAAAACCATCCTGTGGTGTTGGGTCCTCGTTTTGAAGAGACAGCGCCCCGCGTCCCACCTCCTCTCCTCCTCCTCCCCTTCCTCGCCCTCCTCCCTCCTCCCCCTCCTTGCCTCTGCTCTCGGCACACCCCCCACACGTTTCGTAGCCCCATAGGGAGAGCTCCACCGAAGGTTCCAGTGGCACAGCCCGCATGCGGTTCCCCCACCCAGGGTAGCGTTTCGTGGCCCCATAGGGAGCTCCACCGAAGGTCCCAGTGGCACAGCCCGCATGCGGTTCCCCCACCCAGGGCTGCGTTTCGTGGCCCCATAGGGAGCTCCACCGAAGGTCCCAGTGGCGCAGCCCGCATGCGGTTCCCCCACCCAGGGCAGCGTTTCGTGGCCCCATAGGGAGCTCCACCGAAGGCCCCAGTGGGGGTGCCGCATGCGGTTCCCCCACCCAGGGCAGCGTTTCGTAGCCCCATAGGGAGCTCCACCGAAGGCCCCAGTGGGGGTGTCCACATGCGGTTCCCCCACCCAGGGCAGCGTTTCGTGGCCCCATAGGGAGCTCCACCGAAGGCCCCAGTGGGGGTGTCGCATGCGGTTCCCCCACCCAGGGCAGCGTTTCGTGCCCCATAGGGAGCTCCACCGAAGGCCCCAGTGGGGGTGTTCGCATGCGGTTCCCCCACCCAGGGCAGCGTTTCGTGGCCCCATAGGGAGCTCCACCGAAGGCCCCAGTGGGGGTGTTCGCATGCGGTTCCCCCACCCAGGGCAGCGTTTCGTAGCCCCATAGGGAGCTCCACCGAAGGCCCCAGTGGCACAGCCCGCATGCGGTTCCCCCACCCAGGGCAGCGTTTCGTGGCCCCATAGGGGCTCCACCTAAGGCCCCAGTCGCGCAGCCGAATGCGGTTCCCGCTCAGGACAGCGTTTCGTGGCCCCATAGGTAGCCCAGCATGCGGTTCCCCCACCAGGGCAGCGTTTTCGTGGCCCATAGGGAGCTCCACCTAAGGCCCCAGTCGGCAGTTCGCATGCGCCCCCCCTTCCCCCCCCCACCCAGGGCAGCGTTTCGTGGCCCCATAGGTAGCTCCCCGAAGGTCCCAGTGGCGCAGTTCGCATGCGTCCAGTACTGCGTTTCGTGGCCCCATAGGGAGCTCCACCGAAGGTCCCAGTGGCGCAGTTCGCATGCGTCCTCCCCACACCCAGTACAGCGTTTCGTGGCCCCATAGAGAGCTCCACCGAAGGTCCCAGTGGCGCAGTTCGCATGCGTCCCCCCCCACCTAGTACAGCGTTTCGTGGCCCCATAGAGAGCTCCACCGAAGGTCCCAGTGGCGCAGTTCGCATGCGTCCTCCCCGCACCCAGTACAGCGTTTCGTGGCCCCATAGAGAGCTCCACCGAAGGTCCCAGTGGCGCAGTTCGCATGCGTCCCCCCCCACCTAGTACAGCGTTTCGTGGCCCCATAAGGGGGCTTCCCCGAATGCGATACCCACAACTGCATATGGTTGGGTCTTTCGCCAGGCTAATTTTGAGGGGTCCAGGGGGACGGAGGAGGATGAGGAGGATGAGGAGGATAAGGAGGAGAGGAGGAGGAGAAGGAGGAGGAGGGGGGGAGGAGGAGGCGGAGGAGGACGATGAGGAGGACGGGGAAAAGGAGGAGAGAGAGGATGAGAAGGAGGGGGGGGAGGGGTAGGGGTAGTGGTAGGGGAAGGGTGAGGGTGAGGGTGAGGGGGAGGGGTAATGGTAGGGGGAGGTGGAGGGGGAGGAAGCGGCGGCGGAGGAGGAGGAGGACCAGTGCAAAATCAAGATTCATCAACGATGCTGCTTCAAGCCACTTAGGCTCAAGCCCTTGCTCAAGGCTCAAGCGTCACAAGACGGGAGGTCTGCGCGGCTGTAGTTGCGCAGGGCAATCATGCTGGCCAACTCTGAGAAGGAGTCTGAGAAGGAACACCTGTCCAGGGTGATTTGCGGGCATGTCGACAGTGGCAAGAGCACCATCACCGGCCGCCTGATCTTCGAGCTGGGGGGCCTGTCAGAGCGTGAGCTCGAGAAGCTGAAGGCGGAGGCCGAGCGCCTGGGCAAGGCTCCTTCGCCTTCGCGTTCTACATGGACCGCCAGAAGGAGGAGCGCGAGCGCGGCGTGACCATAGCTTGTACCACAAATGCCCGACAATGAGTCTTCCCGCTTCGCGGGGTCGGGAGGATCGCCGGTCTTCGCAGAAGTTGCATAACCAACGTGAGGCATGGCGACAAGGTCAGACTCAGCGTAGGCGGTGGCTCCAGTCGCAGCCTGCATAGAGGGTTGTCGGCGTGCTGAGGGGGGGCCGCGGCGACCTCGCGCAGTCTTCGGATGGCGCGGAACTTTGTACTCTTAGCAGCTGTTCTTCGGAGCGGCGAGGCAACGGTGTAGGGAATTACGCCAACAGTATTAGGCGCAGCGTTCGACATGGATCTGGCTACGACGTGTGCAGGGATAGATATTTTTACTGCCCTTCTCATCGGCCGACTCTGGATGCTTCGTAGGATGTGGTCTTTGCTTCTTCAGGGAACGTCCAGGGCTTGGCTTGGGCCCGCAACGACAATGTCGACAAGATGGCTGCCCTGGTCCAGAAGGTGGAGGCCCTGCAGTGGGACATCGGCGTCTCGAGCGACGTGCACACCCGGGAGCCGGCGACGGTCTGTGTGGAGCAGTTCATGCTGCTCGTTGGTCACCGGACGGCCTCCATCATGTCCCACTCGGCCATGAAGGCTTGGCACGAGGCCAGCAGCCAGTAGTGGGGGTTCGGCGAGCACGTGTTGGCCATCACGCTGCTCACGAAGGGGGTCTTGTATGCCTGCCTCTGCGGCTACTTGCCGTCTGGCCGGCACCGCGCTCTTCGGCGGCAAGTCTTAGCGGATCTCGACTCCGGGATTGCACAGCTGCCCCATGGTGCGATCGTCATTGTGTCCGGTGACCTCAACAGCCACATCGGCGAGGATGCCCGTTCCAGCGACCAGGCTGGGCCTCACAAGCTCTCGACGCCTACCACGGCTGGCGGATGGACGACCAAGGATCGACTGTCCGACGGCAAGCTGCGGCTCGCGGGTTCCTTTGCCCCAATCTACTCAGGAGGGAAAAACACACGCAATCAATCGTCGATACCCCAGAAAATATGGGAAAATATGGGAAGTGGGGGGGAAGACAATAACCCAGAAACCGTGGGGGAAAATATGGGGAATCCTTTGATTTGTGTATATTTATTTGTTTGTCCCGGGGCCCCTTCCCTACTCGTGGCACTTGGCAGCACCCGCCGTCCAAGAAATGCTGCGAGCTCGACGGCGTCCTGGCAGGCCCCCGGGACTCCAGGCGAATGCACGGCTGGAAGGTCCTCCTGGCGAGCTTCTCAGACCACCATTGAAAGCTGTGCCGGCTGACGCTGGCGGCGTCGATGCAGAGCCGTCGTCGTTTCCGTGTGGAGCGTCTGGAGCGGCTAGCAGTTGCGAGATTCAAGGGCCGCTCCTCGGAGGCGAAGCAGCTGCGTGAGAGCTACGCGGCAAAGACCGCCGAGGCCATGCAGCACGCACCACCGGACAGCTCCTGGACAGACTTGGTGGGCATCAGGGCGCAGGCTTGCGAGGACGCGGCTGGGCGCGACCCTGAGCAGATCGGGCTGCCATATCTGGCGCGTCGCGCCAAGGAGGCGATCACGCGGCATGCCGAGATTTAGCGCATGTTGACGGCGGTCAAGGAGGCGACCGACGTGCAGGCGACAGCGCAGGCCCGAACATCGTTACGACATGCTCGTGCCGTTCTCAGGCGAGACGAGCGCCGCTGGAAGGCTCAGTGGGTCAGCTCTGTCTGTGAGGAGCTTGAACAGACTCTGCGCTGGCAGGACATGGGCAGATTCTACCGCGGTCTGCGGTCCCTCGGAATCGATCTTGCCAAGTTCCCGTCGCGGGGCCAGCAGGAGCTCACGTGTGACCAGATCCAGGAGCATTTCGCGAAGACTGGAGCTGAACCCAACGAGGTGGACGTCGAGGTTTTGAAGCTGCCACCACCTCGGCCAAAGTCTCTTGGCTTGGGTGCACCCCCGGAGGATGACGAGATATATTACGCCTGGCGCAAGATGCGTCCCAGTGCTGCTGGCCACGACGAGGTCCGCATCGAGCTGCTTCGCTTTTCCGCTCCTGAGATGCGTGCAGCGCTGCGGGATCTCTTCCGCCGTCTCTAGACGAATCCAACGGAGGGGTGGGGGCAGTCCGTCAGCGCGTTGGTCGGCGTTGCCCTCTTCAAGCAGAAGAGGTCCAGGAAGAGCTTGGACAATTATCGGCTGATCGCTCTCATGGCCCCGGTATCTCGCATGATCGCCCGGATGGTGTCCGTGCGCCTGTCTGCTGACGGTGACTCCGTCGGCCTCTTTATCGACGAGCAGTGGGGCGTCAGAAGCCACCGCAGTGCGCTTGATGCCATCTTGCTTGTGCGCCTGATCACGGAGGTCTCTGCGCGTGGCCGGCTGCCCCCAGAAGGTTGTCCGGCCTCGCGTGTGGAGTTCGCTCTTTGCTACGACGCGGCCCCTTCAGCAGCTCGAGCGGGCCCTCCTGGCCGAGCTTTTTCTGGGGGCTCTCGTGACTTTTCGAGCAGATGGTGGGGCGGCGTCTGGGCAAATCTCGGGGCAAACTTGGCCTTTGTCGTGTGCTGGAGAGTGCGGGGCTCTTGCGGGCCAGGCTGGCGCGCTTCGCCGACGACGCGTCCCTGCCGGCGCTGGGGGGACTTTCGGGCCCAGATCCTGGAGATCACAACTCGGGTCCAGGCTGTGTTCGGCGAGACGGTGCGCCCCGGCCAGACGGAGAGCGCGGCCTTCGGTCGTCGCGCTTCCAGCGAGCCGCCGATTCCAGACGACTTCGCCCAGGCTGCAAAGCTGCTGGGTTCCCGGTTCGATTCTCCCAGCGATATGGCCGATGATTCTCGTCGCCACTTGGAGAAGGCCAAGAATTCCTGGATGAAGCTGTACATGCAATTGCCGCGCTTGAAACTGGATTCTAAGCATGAGCGGCATGTTCTGCAATCTTCGTTCGGTGGTTGGCAGTCTGTTGTATGCTTGCGGCGAGACGTGGGACTTCTCGCAGCGAGAGCTCGACCAGTGCCAGGTCATCCCCGACCGAATCGTGCGGGATGTCGCCCACGCCACGCTGACCGAGATGAAGGGCACCAGGGCCATGACTGATGTCAGGAGGTCCTGTGGACTCGACAGCGCGCGGACCATAGTGGGCAGCAGGCGGCTTCGCTAAGCCAGCAATGTCGCGTGCCTCCCTGAGAGCATGCGCGGGGCCTGTTGGCCTGGCTGGTGCCAGGCGCCAAGACAACGTCTTGCCTACGGAAGACCATCCGAGGTCAGTGGTGGGCCCGAACCCAGGAGCTGCGTGCGCTGGAAGGCGTTGCGGTGAGCCATTGGGCGACCTTGGCCCGCGAAGGCTCCGGCGCGCTGCGCGGAGGTAGTTGCTGGAAGGCTGCCGTCAAGAAGCGGGTCGAGGACCGGCGGGTGAAGGGGGCCGTGGGCGCCGAGGTGGGGCGCCAGGCCTGGCGCGAGGCCGCCGCTCCGGAGCGGGCGCGCGTCTCCGCCGCCACGGCGCAGGCTGCTATGCGCGTGGCATCTGTGGCCAGGCGCCTTCTCAGAAGACTTGGGGGCGGCATTTCTTGGCGTGCGATGCTCGAGCGAAGGCGGACCGCCGGCCGCCGAGGGTTCGCGCCCGGCAGAAGTGCGAGCAGCGTGGCAAGGTGTTCGCCCACTTGCGGATCCACTGGTCGTCGTGCCCGGCGCGCCTCGGCCCGCTGCCCCGCGCGCGCAGCCAGGCCGGACAGCCAGTCGAGGCGAAGGCGCAGGCGAAGGCGAAGGCTGGCCCGCCACCGGCGGTCCAGCGCCTCTTCGCCAGCTGCGACGTAAGACCCCTCCTCCGCTTCCTCCACAGTGCCGGGTCCCGCCGTCAGCGCCGCCGCCGCCGCCGCCGCCGCCTGCGGCCGGCCCGCCGAGGCGAGGCCTGCGAGGCAAGTCGCCGCCTCCGCTGGTCGCCGAGGGAGCGCTGGCGGGCGCCCGGCAGCGCGCCCTTCCAGCTCGCGCACCGCGGGCCGCGCCTGCCCCGCAGCAGCCGCCAGCGCCAGCGGCGTCTCCGCCCCCTCCGCCGGTCCCGCAGGCGCCCCGCAAGGCAGTCCGGATCGTCATCTCCAAGACGCGCGGGCAGAAGGCGATGCAGAAGCTCTGGTTGGCGAGGGCCAGGTCCCGCACCTATCAAAATCTCCACACCTGTTCGCGCTGACACAAGGATGTCAACGGCGCCCGTATCTAGCAGGGGCAGCGCGACGAGGCGCCCGACGACGTGGCGCGCGGCGCGCCTGAGGAAGCTGCAGTGCTCCTTCTGTGCTGCTGCCGTGGCCGACTGGCAATCTCAACGTGCGCGCTGCGGCCTCCTTGCCGTCGGGCGGTGCAGCGCCGTCAAGCGCGTGGAAAAATGCCACGGGAAATGGCTGCAGGCCGAGCTGCCGTGCGACCAGTTCTCGATCGACCGCCCCGGTGGGTCACGAGCGTGAAGATGATCGCCCCTCGCCCCCCCTCCCTCCCCCTCTCTCCCCCTCCCCTCTCCTTCCCTCTCTCCCCCTTCCCCCTCCCTCTCTGCCCCCCCCCTGGGGGCGCGAAGTATTTTGCGCAGAGTGGCCGTCCGCGCTGGGCCGGCGACCAGCGCCCTCGGGTGCAACCGGGCCCGCGGGCCCACGCTGGCGGCCTCGTTGGCGCCGCAGTCCGGCTCCTCCGGGGGCGTCTGCTGCACTTTTGGAGTTCGGCTGCACCGCCAGTCACATGGCGGCGCTTGTGCCGCAGAGGAGTTCTACGCCGAGAAGTGGCGTTGCGCGGTCATCGACGCCCTGGGCAATCGCCGCCAACTCGTTGGGCCGGCGCCACCGATGGGCCTTCGCGACGCCGCGGCCCCCCCGGACGGCTTATTGAAGCCCGCCGCAGCTGCAGATCGTTTCTTAAATTTCAGCGTTGCTGCATGTCTGCGCAACCACAACTGGCGCCACCCGCGGGCCCCGCAGCGACGGCCCTCCACGACGCCGCGGGCCCCTTGGACGGGTCATTGGAAAAAATTGAGCGGGCCATTCAATAAAGAAACCCACCGCAGGCGCCGATTTCTTATTTTTCAGCACTGCATTTCCGCGAAACCAAGACCAGCGCCACCCCTGGGCGCCGCGGCGACGGCGATGGGCGCCCACGACGCCGCGGGCCCCCCGCGAGGGGGCCCCCGGGCCCCGTCCCCTTGGGCCCCCGCACGACCTGCGCTACCCGGGCCCCCGCGACGCCGCGGGCTCCCCGCGGTGGGGCCCCTGGCCCCTCCCGCCGAGCCCCCGCGCGTGCGCGTGGACATCCCCCGTCGTGCGCGTGGACACCTGGGTCAGAAAGACGAACAATAAACATAATATTAAGACCAATCGTACAAACAATAATTCTACGAATCGTAGTAATACGAATAAGAATGATACTCATTCATAGTAACAATACGAATGAGAGCGCGAACAGTAACGCTAATATTCAAAACGAAGGAACATACCAATACATCACTTAATAATGTGAATAGTAATAAGAAGAGAACGAAACATAATAAGGAGCAGACGAATACGACGAACAATAACACATATTACACACAGAAGTAGTCATATCAAGAACAACCCAAATAATACCACTGATATGAATACGAACAATATGCGAATAATAAACCGACGATTCTTATTACGAGTCCTAATAATAAGACGAATGCTGGGAATCATTCGAATATCCAGAATCATAGGCATAATATTACGAATGCCAAGAGTAATGACATGATTAATAATACCAGCAGCAGTTATAATCACACGAGTAATAGTACTAATAGTAATAGCAGTACTGTTAATATTGTAGTTGAGAAGAAGTAGGCTATTCATATTAATTTCGTTATTAATACTATCACCATTTATAATATTAATAACCATACTAATACTAATACTGATAGTAATACTACTACTACTAATACTAATAATAATACGCATACTAATTCTAATACGAATGCTACTACTACTACTACTACTGCTACTACTACTACTACTAGTAATACTAATACTAATACTCATATTAATAATACTACTACTAATTCTAATACGAGTACGAATGCGAATGCGAATGCAAATGCGAATGCGAATGCGAATGCTAATACTAATACTAGTACTAATAATAATACTGATACTGATACTGATACTGATACTGCTACTACTACTACTACTACTACTATTACTACTACTACTACTATTACTAATACTAGTACTAGTACTAATACTGATTCTAATACTGATACCAAAACTAATGCTAATACGAATAATAATAACAGTATTATTATTATTATTTCTATTACTTCAGATATTGATCGTACTGATAATGGTAAGACGAGAAGCAATACTAGCAATCCTAATACCAATGCTAATGCTAAGCTTCATATAGCGCTAACAGTACTTCTAATCCGTAAGGGCTTCGCTCCATGCCGCCGGCCCCCTGTCTCGGATAATGAGAGATGCGTAAGCTTAATCAGGAGGTCTGGGCGCCGCCGTGAAGCGGTGTCGGGACCTGTTTGTTTTTCGACCGTGACCCTACGGATCTGCGTGAGGGGTGCCACCGAATTTCAGAAATGTGGCAAATCCCATGTGTTTTTGGACCCTGAACCTACGGATCTGCGCGAGGGGTGCCGCCGAATTTCAGAAATGTGGCAAATCCCTTGTGTTTTTGGACCCTGACCCTGTCGATCCGCGTGAGGGTGCCACCGACTTTCAGACATGTTGAGGACCCCCTGGGTTTTCGGACCCTGACCCCGCCGATCTGCGTGAGGGGTGCTATCTAATTTTAGAAATGTGGCAAATCCCATGTGTTTTTGGACCCTGACCCCGCCGATCTGCGTGTGGGGTTTAATTTTTACTCACCCCAGCAATTCAGAGCACACGCTCACTAAACGTGCCCGTTTGGGCCTCCCCCCCCTCGCGCGGTCCATCATCAAGGAACAGTAAACAGTAAGAAGCAGAACTGTAACAGTGGAAACTGGAAGCTGCAACTTGTACAGGAAACTGCGAACCTTCGGCCTACAGCCTGGTGGCCCCACAGGGGGGCGGGTTGATATTCATGATAATACTAACAAGAATTGTGCTAATAATATCAATCAGGTTAATCTTACTACTAATAATGCGATGGATCATAGTAGTGTTAATACTAGTTTTTCTACTAATAGGAAGATTCATTATAACACTGAGAAGAAGAAGGAAGCGAATAAGGTCAACGCGTCGACGTTTGCCTGTTCCGGAGCAGCCAACGCGCGACCGACCTGACATGTATTCGCGTGACAGGGGAGGAGGAGGAAGAGGAGGATGATGATGTTGAGGAGGAGGAGAAGGAGGAGCAGGAGGAGGAGGGGGAGGGGGAGGAAACATAAACATATGAAGCATATTAATACATTATTAGGAATCATTCCAATACTAATCGTACTAATCGTACTAAACGTGATAAGCATAGAAGTGATAGTACTTATACGTTACTACTAATAATAATGTTCATAATGTTATTATTGTTGTTATTCTAAGTAATAATATTCATAACACTACTAATACTAAGAGGAAGACACGAGTACAGTAATACTAATAACTATACTTTTACGACCAATCATACTGCCACCAATAAAAAGATAAAGACAACTAATACGATGCCTAATGATAAACATACGGAGACTACTACTACTTATAAGAAGAGGAGGGGGAGGAGGAGGAGGAGGAGGAGGAGGAGGAGGAGGAGGAGGAGGAGGAGGAGGAGGAGGAGGAGGAGAGGGGCGGAGGAGGAGGTGGATGAGGATGAGGATGGGGGGGAGGGGGAGGGGGAGGGGAGGAGGGGGAAGAAGGAGGTGAGGAGGAGGAGGAGGAGGAGGAGGAGGAGGAGGAGGAGGAGGAGGAGGAGGGGGAGGAGGAGCACGATGAGGAGGAGGAGGCGGCGGAGTAGGAGGAGGGGGAGGAGGAGGAGGAGGAGGAGGAGGAGGAGGAGGAGGAGGAGGAGGAGGAGGAGGAAGAGCTTGGACAGGAGGGGCCCCGTCCATGACTCGGGGATGGCAGGTGCCCCGTCAATGACTCGGGGGCGGTCGTCGCCGCTTGTATCGGCGGGGTAAAAATAGAGTCGGGGACGGGGCCGCAGGACCAGCGCATGTGGGTGGGGTCGCGTCCCCCCCCCGTGGGGGGGCGATCGGGGGTTGGCGACCTGGGCTCCCCCCCGTGCTGGTTTTCCACCCAGCTCGGGGTCCCCAGGCCCCATCCTCCGCTCGCCGCCCTCTGGGCGGGAGGCCAGGGCGGTGCGCCTGCGTGGCAAAGCCCGTGCAGCCGTTGCGGCGCAAGCGCTGTGCGGGGGCGCTGACGCGGGCGCGTTGCGTGGTGCCGCTGTGCGGTCCCGGGTCAACCTCTGTGAGGCTCGGCGCTGTGCGGTGGGCGTGAGCGCATTGCGCCACGCGACGGGCCTCTGGTGTGGGCGGGCGTTTGAAGGCTCCCCCCCCGAGGCCCAGTGATGGTGATGTGCGGTCCAGAGGACCGTCCCCGTGCGCACCCAAGTCAAAAAGAGGAGGAGCAGGAGGAGGAGGAGGAGTAGGAGGAGGAGGAGGAGGAGGAGGACGATGAGGAGGAGGAGGCGGCGGAGGAGGAGGAGGAGGACGAGGAGGAGGAGGGGAGGAGGTGGAGGAGGAGGAGGGGGAGGAGGAGGAGGAGGAGGAGGAGGAGGAGGAGGAGGGGGAGGAGGGAGGAGGACGAGGAGGAGGAGGAGGAGGAGGAGGAGGAGGAGGAGCGGAGGCGGAGGAGGAGGAGGAGGAGGCGGAGGAGGAGGAGGAGGAGGAGGAGGAGGAGGGGGAGGATGATTATTCGGAACCATAGTAATATTTATCATACGAGTAATGCGACACTTGCTAACAAGACGAAGCATGCTGATACTATGCATATTCACAATAATACGAATACGATGAATACCTTTAATTCTAATACTAATAGCCGTTAACGAGGCTACTGATAGTAGGAATGCGACGACGAAAACGAATACAAGTAATATGCTATACTACGACACATGATCATCATGCCACTAATACTATGCGTACTAATGCGACTAATCATACGAATACCAATGTACATCAGACACATACGACGCAAATCATACTACTGAGAGGAAGAGTGCCACTACTACTAATAATACTCAGAAGACCAATAATACTACTACTAAAAATACGAATACCAATACTAATAATAATACTGATAACAACTAGCACACCCATACTACTACTGGCATGGGTACTAGTCGTCCTAATGCTACTGCTAGCACGCATATTAGCAACAGTACTACGACGAATGCAAATATCAACCATGGTAATACTCATGCTACTCATGATCACGATCGTAGTTATTTTATTCATACCAGAAGTAGTAGTAACCATTATAATCGTACTCGTAATGCTCCATCAATAACAACAGCACTACTACCAGTATTGGTGATGCTTACGATGCTAATGATGCGGATAATCGCAGTAACAATGCGATCACGGCAAGTGACACACACACTAACAACATTATCGTTATTCATAACGACATTGGCATTACCAGCACTACTAATAGTTATAAACTTTATCATTAAACATATTAGTTTGGCGAGCATTATCAACACTCATAATACTACCAGTAGTACTAGTATGAATAACACCAATACGATTAGTAAACGATGATCACGAATGATATGAAGAGGTGGAAGAGGATGAGGAGGATGAGGAAGATGAAGAGGAGGAGAAGGAGGAGGAGGAGGAAGAGGAGGACGAGGAGGAGGAGGAGGGAAAGGGTGGTGAAGGACGAGGAGAAGGAGAAGGAAGAGGAGGAGGAGGCGGAGGAGGAGTTGGAGTTGGAGGAGGAGGAGGAGGATGATGTGGAGGAGGAGGAGGAGTTGGAGGAGGAGGAGGAGGATGAGAGGAGGAGGACGAGGAGGAGGAGGAGGACGAGGAGGAGGAGGAGGAAGAGGAGGAGGAGGAGGATGAGGAGGAGGAGGAGGAGGAGGAGAGGTGGAGGAGGAGGAGGAGGAGAGGAGGAGGAGGAGGAGGAGGAGGAGGAGGAGGAGGAGGAGGAGGAAGGAGGAGGAGGAGGAGGAGGAGGAGGAGGAGGAGGAGTGGGAACTCGCGTCCGCGCCGCCCCGCTCTCCGCAGGGCGCCAGCGATCCCGACGAGTGGAGGCTGACGCCGCGCGAGCAGCGTCGTCGCTTTCGCCGTCGCCTCCGCTGTCGTCATCGTTGTCGCGGTGCTGGTTGCCGTCGCCGTCGTCGTGGCGACTGTGGTGGTTGTCGTTGTGCTGTCGCCATGAGGGAAGCGGGTCCTGAGGCAAACGGGTCCTCAGTTTTTTCGCCATTTTCGGGCTCTCGGGGCTCTCCACGGGCCCCTGGGCTATCAGAAACTGACTCAGGATGAAAACCTCGTCCTGGGGGAAGGCCCAAGGGTCCAGGACCTGTTTCACTCAGGACCCGTTTCCCCCATGCTAAGTACTGGTGTTCGGTCGTCGTCAACATATTCGTCGTCGTCGTCGTCGCCGCCGTCGCCGTCGTCGTCGTCGTCGTCGTCGTCGTCGTCGTCGTCGTCGTCGTCGTCGTGCTTTGTGTTTTTGTGGCGCCTGGGCTGCCCTCGGGGGTTTTCTGTTGGCACCCGGCAGTTTTTTTGGGGGCATCTGGGGGTTGCCGAAGTTTGTAGTGCTTTGGGGTTCTTCGGGCGGTGTCCAGGGGGAAGAGGGCGAGGAGCAGAAAGGAGGGATGAGGCGGAGGAGGAGGAGGCGGAGGAGGAGGAAGAGGAGGAGGGAGGAGGATGAGGATGAGGATGAGGACCAGGATGAGATGATGATGATGAGGATGAGGAGAGGAGGATGAGGATGAGGAGGAGGATGAGGAGGATGATGATGATGAGGAGGAGGAGGAGTGAGGAGGAGGAGGAGGAGGGAGGAGGAGGAGGAGGAGGATGATGAGGATGATGATGATGATGATGATGATGAGAGGATGAGGAGGATGGTGTGCGATGGGGGAGAGGGGTAGGAGGATGATGGGGAATGAGGGAGGAGGGGGGTACTAGGCTGGAGGGGGTTGGGTGCAGTGTGGAGGGGGATGGCGGAAAATATGGAAAAGGGAGATGCAAGATGCATGTGATCGTCCCATATTTGACATGCACCCTCTCCCACTATTCCCTCCCTTTTGCGTTTTTATTTTCGGGTTTTGACGTTTTCCTCCCTGTCCGCCGACGTGTGTCACAGCGGCCCTGGACCCCCCAAGCGGCTCCATCCTTTTAGTCGCAATCAAAGTAAAGTGGGCAGGAGGGATGAGAGGGATGGGAGGGAGGGAGGGAGGGAGGGAGGGAGGGAGGGAGGGAGGGAGGGGGGAGGAGGAGGTGAGAGGAGGAGGAGGAGGAGGAGGAGGAGAGAGGAGGAGAGGAGGGAGGAGGAGGAGGGGGAGGGGAGGAGGAGGAGGGGAGGAGGAGGAGAGGAGGAGGAGGAAGGGGAGGAGGACTAAGATGCGGACGATGAAGGAATCGGACCCAGACGCTCGGCCTGCCCCGGGGCGGCCGCGGCTGGACTCGCCTTGAGATCCTGGTCAAATCGTGCTCCGCGGCGGCGTTCCGGGGCGGGCTCGCGGGTCGACCTCAGAGGGTCTGCGTGTCGGGGCCGTCCATCGGTGGGTGTGTGTGGGTCGTGGGATGGAGTGAGGGAGTGAGGGGGGGGTCCGTCTATCCGTGAGGGAGTGAGGGGGGGTGGATGTCGTGGGCGGGGTCATACATTCTCCCAGGCTGCACGCGCTTCGCTGTGATACGAATTCGGGTCATGTCTGTGGCATTATCCCCTCCTGCCCGAGTCCTGGGCCAGTGCAAGTACTTGCCATCTCAGAGTTGTCCAGTGCACAGCGCCAATCGGCCACGCGGACGGGACACCCTCGGCTCTGTCCATCCGCGCTTCAACACAAAGGCTATCTCAGGCTTCGTGCCTCTCTGTTCGTCTTTCCGCGCGGTCCCTGGCCTCCGCTCGTCCGCGCAGATGCCTCGGGCCGAGATTCGTTCCCCCCCCCCTCCCGCTGTGTTCCCCTACAGTGTCGGACAGCCCCAGGCGGCCTCGGACGAGGGCCTTCTCGTGCCTGGGTTCGACGGGGCCTCGGGCGATTCTGACTAGGGGTCTGTCGCTGTATGCTGGCGTCCCCCACCGCCGTCAGACTTCATGCATTTGGTGGAGGCGATCGTTTGAGATCGAAGAAATCTCGAATGCTTGCTGTGACACAGCTTTGCAGGCATGGGCGCCAGAGAGTCAGGCATCGTGCTCGTCGGCCTTGCAGGAGCTGTTATCCTCGCCCGTCAGTCTGCGCCGGCACGGCCGCCAGGTACGATGTGGACAAGTACCCGGACATGCACAGGCCGGCTTGTTGCAAGAGCATGACCATATTTGCGTGAGAGCAGTGCCAGTAAGGTTGATGACATTGAAGACACGGCTTCGCTACGGGGTCATCGTGCCGTACCTCTCTCTGCTAGTATCGTGTGTCGGCCGTCAGGGATAAGTTCACGTAAGGCTTGCTACACTCTGCGTATTCAGTTAGGCAGGCGTTGCTGTTCGTCTCCATCTTCATGTCTGTATCCTGTCGTCCCTCCTCCCCCGGCTCTGCTCCGCAGTTTTAGCGCCTTGGTGAGTTCCTGCGTTAGCTTGATTGCCTTGTGACAAGATCGTCTAGTATTCGTGCTTCAGCAAGCAGTCCGATTGAGTCAATGGTCGACCCAGTGTTGGGCGCGACTGGGGAAAATCTTAACCTCAGGCTGACACACATGTTTGGTGTTTGTGCTGAGACAGAGTATTTCACGTCTGATCTCTGGCTCCTTGGGCCCTGGGGTACTCCGCTGCCAGCCGCCTGCTTGCCGTACCCGTCGTTGTATGATCATTTTTATAATGATGCTGGTATTGATGATGATTCTGCTGATTCTGACGACTCTGATTCAGATTATGATTATATGTTGGCAACGGTAATAGTACTGATAGTCATACTGATATTGTTGATGATATTGATGATATTGAGGTTGCTGCTCATGATGATGCTGATGATGCTGCTGATTGTGATGATACTGATGATGTCTATGACTATGGTGGTTGTGATCGCGGTGATGATATGTTGTAGATGATGATGATGATGATGATGATGATGATGATGATGATGGTGATGATGGCTATGATGATGATGTGTGCGATCGTGGTAATGATGATGATGCTGATGATGATGATTGTGATGATGATGATGATGATGATGATGATGATGATGATGATGCCGATGCTGATGATGACGATGATTGTGTTGCTGGTGGCCATGATGATTATGTCTATGCTGATGCTGTTGCTGATGCTGATGATGATGGGGACGATGACGATGATGCTGCTGTTGCTGCTGCTGCTGCCGATGCTGATGTGGTCAATAATGATAATGCTGATGCTGATGCTGATGGTGATGGTGATGATGATGTTGATGATGATGATGATGATGCTGATGCTGCTGATGATGATGCTGCTGCTGCTGCTGATGATGATGATGATGATGATGTTGATCATGATGATGATGATGATGATGATGATGATGATGATGATGATGATGATGATGATGCTGATGATGATGATGATGATGATGATGATGATGACCATGCGGATGGTATGGTTGTTTCAGATGATGACGATGTCGCTGCTGATAATGACGATATTGTTCCCCACCCGACAGGTTGGGGCCGTCAGGTTTCGAGAAGGGACATCCGGGCCCGGCCGCCCTGCATACCGCGGCCGCCAGATCCCCAGGCTCTCGATGATCCCTGGTGGTCCCGCCCCCGCCCGCCCTGCACGCCGCGGCCTCCAGCTCCCCGGGCTCCCGAGGATCCCTGACGGTCCCGCTCCCCGCGCCGACTCGCCCACTCTGCACAGCGCGGCCGCCAGGTCCCCAGGTCCCCCACAGAGCCGTGCATAACACTACACCACCGATCAGAACATATCCGAGCAGAACATACCATAGCATGGCACACCATCTCGTAACATAGCACACCATGCCAGACCAGTGCATACCATAGCACAGCATCACAGCACATATCACCCCAGAACATGACACATCAAGCATACCGTAACAAGGCAACGCAGCACTGAACATGCCAACACAGAAAATGCCACATCGTCACACATAATGGCGTAGCATAACATCGCACAACACATCCTACCAGTGCATTCATTGACAGATCGGAGCATGCATAACATAACATAACAGAGCATGCCATTACATTTCATACCACATCATCACATAAGCTACCATGACATAGCACACCACACCATAACACAACATCACGACACACATCGTTCCATCGTTCCATTGGCACAGTATATCATATCATAATAAAACATAGCATCGCACACCACCATTAGCTATGCTGTATTTGGTCACACAGAACATAGCATAGCACCACACCTCACAACACAACATACCAGAGCATACATGACACACCATGGCAGAGCGTATCATATCATAACATACCATGTCATACCATATCACACCGTATCATAGTATCACAGCACACAAACGTCCATACTATGCCACGTCATATCATGACAGAGCGCGGCATAACACAGTATAGCATAGCATGGCATAATACGTCATAACACCATGGCATAGCAACGCATACCACATCATAACATGTGATACTATGACATAACAGGACACATCATAACAACGCATACAATGACATAACGGAGCACACATAGCATATCACCAAACATCGCACCAATAACGAAGGGGCAACACACCATAACATAGCGTAACATAGCAGAGCATAACGCTTCACACAATGACACAAATTGTCCTAACGTAGCGCAGGATCGCAGCTTTGCATAACAGGGCATGTGTAATACCATTATTTATGCAGTTTCGGTGGGGATCACTCGAAGCACAGTAACTGTTTTGTTTTCCTTGGTAATACCAACGATGATCAATTGATGATAAGGGTGTCAATGATGACGATGACGATGGTGATGGTGATGGTGGTGGTGGTGGTGATGGTGGTCGTGGGGGTTGCGGTGGTGACGGGCTCGCGCACGGACGATCGGCTGCGGGAACACCCCCGCCGCGCCTCTACTCGGCAGCGTGGCCGCCGCTCCTCCTCGGACGCTTCGTGCGTCGCGGCCGCTCCCGCGCCCGGGCCAGCACGCCACCAGCGCCCGAGCGCTCCGCTGCCGGAACCACCGGCTCGCCCCGCTCCTCGCCAGACCCGGCCTCGGCCCTGGGACGGCACCCCTCGCCGCCTCCGCCGCTCCCCGCCCGGCCCTCGGCTTCTTGCCCAGGGCCACTCCTGCGTGCATGCAGCCCCCCGAGCTCGATGCTCCGGGGTTCTGGCCGCGCCGCCGCCTGTTCCGCACGGCCTCGCGGCGCGCGCTCGGCGCCTCCGCGGTGCACACGCGGCCTCCCGAGGCCGACCGCCCGCGTCGGCGGGGCGGGGGCTGCGCCCCCTCGTGCAGCAGAGCACCCCTCCTGCCCTCCACGGGCGGGGGGAGGAGAGCACCGGGCGGCTCCACCATGCCGGGGTCGGCGGCGGGGGCACGGGGTCTGCGGCCTGCGCCCGTGCTGGCTCCAGTCGCTGCGCCTCGCGCGCCCGCCGCGTCGCCGTCGTCGTTGCCCTGCGCGGCCGCCGCGGCTGTGGCCCCCACGGCCGCAGCCACTGCCGCCGACGCTGCTGCGCCTGCTCGTCCGCCCTGCGCCGTCGATTTGGCCCCGTGCCCTCCCTGCACGGGCTCGCCGAGGGCGCTGCAGCCGCGGCGTGTCCAGGCCCACGACCCGGCGGCCAGCTTCAGGGCGGTGCCGCGGTGCCGACGTGGCGTCCCCAGGCAGCAGGGCCCGTGGGCCTGGCACTCGGCCAGCCTGCTGGCTCGGTGGCCACGTTCACAGCAGCGTGCCGCCGCCATGCCTCGGCTCTCCCAGCCGTCGAGGAGCCTGCAGGCAGTCCTCGCAGGCCTACATCGCTTCCCCTAGCCAGCTGTTCACATCGGCCGCCTGCTGCTTCGCCTCGTTGGCCTGCCCCAGCGCTTCGCCATCCTGCGTGTGCAGCATTCGGGCTTGCCCGCCCACGAGCCCACTGCTGATGCGCTGCCGGTCCTCGATATTGACCTCGGGGACGTTCTCCTCCGACGCGCGGGCCTTCACCTTGGTGAGGGTGACGTTGCCTCCCCCCCTCTCCCCTAGCTGTTGAGGTGCGCCCAGGTTCTGATCCACAGCTTTCGATACGAGGGCTCCCGCACTCCTGCTCCTGCTCCTGCCCCTGCTCCTGCTCCTCCTCTTCATCCTCCTCCTCCCCCCCGCTTCCTGCTTCCTGAAGTACACTGTTTCCTTGTAGACCAAGGTGGTGCAGTAGGCTGCGACGCACGCACTCTGCAGGCGTCTCTCGGGCCTAAATCCTTACTGTTGGGAGGCACGCGTGCTTTGATGCTCTCTACCACCATGCAGTAGCTATTTTTTTGCGAAGGGCCGCTGTGCGCGGCCCACCCGCCCGCGCCAGCTGGTACCCTCGGCCAGCCACGGGTGCGAGGGAGTACCGCGATCGTTCGGCCCACACCAGTTGGTACACTTGGCCATCCACTGGTGAATTGAGAGCCTAGTATCTACTGCCCTGTGAATTGAGAGCCTCGTATCTACTGCCCTGCCCTGGCTCCCAGGCGGCAGCACACGGCCACGCACGGCACCCTGCGCACCGCGCGCCACACCCTGCACGGAGACGCACGGCACACCCGCACGGCACCCCACAAGGCCCAGGGACGGCCAGGAAGAGCAGCCGCGAAGCCTCGCCACCGCCCCAGCGGGTAAGGAGGGCGTGCCAGGCGAAACGTTCCGCTTCCCGGGCAGGCCACATGCGTGAAGCCACCGATCGCCATGCGGCTACGAAGCCACCGAGGGGGGCAACCGAGAGCCAGCGGAATCCTCCTGCCCCGAAGCCCCACGGGTTTCGGGGTCACTCGTCACCGCCGCCGCCTGGCCGCCGCGGAGGCTGCCCGGCGGGAAGCAGCCCGAGCGGGACTACAAGATGGGGCCGTACGCCCACAAAATGCAGGCCTGCCGCCGCGGCCTCCGCGGCCTCCGCCGCGGCCGCCGCGGCCGCCTTTGTCGTCGCAGCCACCGCCGCCGTCGCCGTTGCTGTCGCCGTCGCTATCGCTGCCGCCGCCGCCGTTGCCGTTTCCGTCGCCGCGGCTGTCGCCGTCGCCGCCGCCGTCGCCGTTGCCGCTGCTATCGCCGCCGCCGCCCCCGTCGTCGCCGACATGCTTGCCGCCGTTGCTGCAGCCGCCGCCGCCGTTGCGGAGACGGCGACAGCGACGGCGCGGGGGACGGGGAGAAAAAGGGGGAGGAGGAGGAGGAGGAGGATGATGATGATGAGGAGGAGATTCCTTAAGGAGGAAGACGGGGTTCTCCCATCTGCCCTAGCCCTCCCAGATCATCCTTCTCCTCCTTGATTCTCCTCTGCTCTTCCGCCTCCCCCACGCCTGGACGACGACGGCTCCAGTCCCCTTTTGCATTTCCCCGCCCGATCCTCCTTCTCCACCAGCCCAGCCGCGCTGGCACCGCGCGCGCAGAAAGACCCCGCCACCGGGAAGCTGACGCCCGTGGGCGTATTTTTCGTGTCCCCCCGCAAGGATCCGCGAGCGACCGCCCGGCGCTCTCCAGCCTGGGCGTCGCCGTCGCCGTCACCGCGTCTTCACCGCCTTCGCTTTCTTCGCCACTTTCGCCTTCGCCGCCTTCGCCTTCGCCTTCGCCGTCGCTTCCGCCTTCGCCTTCGCATCCGCTGCCGCCGCCGCCGCCGCCGCCGCCGTCGTCGTCGTCGTCGTCGTCGTCGTCGTCGTCGTCGTCGTCGTCGTCGTCGTCGTCGTCGTGGTCGCCCTCGTCGTCGTCGTCGTCGTCGTCGTCGTCGTTTGTGCCTCCTCCCTCGTCTCCCTCCTCTCTCGCCTCCTTTTTCCTTCTCCTTCCTCCCTCTTTTCCTTCCTCCCGCTTGCCTCCTTGTTCCTCCTCCCTCCTTTCTTTTCTTTTTCCTCACTCCTCCATTTTTCCCCCTGCTCTTCCATGATGATCCTCCCGCCTCCTCTGCCTTCCTCCTCCCCGCTTCAAGACGGCCTACGAGAGCCTCAAGAAGGCAGAACAGGGCCCCACGACGGTCCCAAGAACCCTCCAACATCGCCAGCACTCCACGTCGGGACCCAGTTGTTGAGGGAAACCGCGGTTGGGAGCAATATGGCCCCAAGACGCCCCAGGGGCTCCCGAAAGGCTCCCAGGAGACCTCAAAAGGCCCCAAGGAAGCCTTCGAGAGGTCTCCCAGAGACATCCCAAGGAGGAACCTCCACCAGCCAACTGCGAAGGGGGACGGGGAATGGTTGACAGAGAAGGGCAAGGACGAGAAAGAGGAAGAAGGAAGATGAGGAACAGGGATAATATGGGAAATGAAGATAACGACGATAACAACAATGAATACAGTGATCTACTCTTCCTCTTCTTCTTCTCTCTCTCTCTCATTCTTTCTCTCTCTCTCTCTCCCTCTATCTTCCTCTATAGTTCTCTATATTTCTCTCCCTCTCTCTCTGTCTCTTTCATGCTCCCATTCTCTCATCTCTCCTTCTCTCATGTGTATTGCTCGTCTCTCTCTCTCTCTCTTTTTCTCGCTCCCCCATTTCTCTCTTTGTCTTCCTCTCTCATTCCGCCTGTGTGCGAATCTTGAAGGACCAAGTTGCATGTCGCGAAGCGCTAACGCAGACATGCACACCTACCCACCTACCTAATTGCCTACCTACCTGCATACGTACGTGCATGTATGCAGACATACAGCCACACATATCCATACATACCATACGTGCATGCGTATAAACATACATATATGCACACACACGTACATACCTACATACCTGCCTACCTGCCTACCTACCTACCTACCTACACACATACATACACATGCATACATACACACATGCATACAAACGTACTTACACACATACATACATACACACACACACTTACATACACATGCATACACACATCCATCCATGCATCCATACATCCATATATACACAACCATACACACATGCATACACAAACATACATACATACATACATATGCACACAGAACACACATCCATCCATCCATCTATCCATCCATCCATCCATCCATCCATTATACATACATACTTACATACATACATACATATATACGTACAAACATACATACATATATACATTCACACATACATACACACATACACACATACATACATACATACAGACACACATGCATGCGCACATGCATACATGCATACCTACATTTACACATAAGTACATCGTTCAGACAGACATACATACACACATACATCCATGCATGCATGCCTGCATCCATACATACATACGTATGTACATACATGCATGCATGCATGCATACATACATACATACATACACACATGCATTCATGCATGCATGCATACATACATACACACATACACACATGCATCCAAACATACATACCTGCGGACATACACACATACATACGTATTTACATACATGCATACATACCTACACACATACATACATACATACATGCATACATACATACATACATACACACATACATACATACATACATGCACACGCACATACACGCATCCATATATACACCCACACATGCATATATACACATACATACATACATGCATACACACACATACATGCATACATACACACACACGCATGCATGCATGCATACATACATGCATACACGAATGCATCCATACGTCCATACACACATGCACACATACGCACACACGAACATACACGCGTGCACACATACATACATACATTCACGTGTACACGCATCCAGTCATACATACAGTTTACCCGCACAGACATACACACACGCGCGCGTGTGATATACTGGGGTTCCTGGTTCCCCAGCCAGGCACCAGGCACACAGGCAAAACATCCGGCTACGGTTTCATTGCCGCCCCTCGGGGCGTCCACGACGGCCCGAGACGGCCTTAGAAGGCGACAAATGGCGGAAGCGCTCCCGAAGATCTCCCCAGGACAGACCAAGAACGCCCACGATAGCCGCAAGGGGACAGCCCAAGGGTGCTCACAGGAGGTCAGAATCCTTTTCAAATGAAGGGTCCAATGCGGATTTCAAGTCGCCCCGGGCCTTCCCAAGGACGCCACCGAGCCTTAACATTGTAATAGAACGTTGTGTGTGTGTGTGTGTGTGTGTTTCAATGTTTGTATCACTCTCGCCTTTTCGGTTCCGATGGGGTCTTGGGGGCCTCCAGCTGTCTCCAAGATTGCCCAGTAAAGGCGAGGCCCAACACAGGCCCAAGGCGCTCCAAGAGGACTCCAAGATGGCCCCAGGACGGCCCGATTGGGGCGCCCACGACGCCTCCAGAGAGCCCCAGGAGGCTCCCAAGATGCTCCCAAGATGCCCCCCCAAACGCTTCCCGAGCGGCACTCCGATCGCTCTCGGCGCCAGTGTGGCCCGTGGAGCACCCTTGAGGCCCCCAAGAGGCTCCCACGAGCCCCCCAAGAGGCTTCCAAGGGCCCCTCAAGAGGCTCCCAAGAGGCATCCCAATATATTCCCAAGTGGCCCCCAAGAGTCCCCCTAACGGCCCCCGAGAGACTACGATATTCTCCTTGCACGCCTCCACTTGAAGACACTTTCATCCTTGAAGGCATGCAAACACCTTCATCCTCACTCCTGATCATCCTCCTCCTCCTCCTCCTCCTCCTCCTCCGTGCTTCGTGCTTGCAAAGGTCTAGAGTCTAGATGCGCAACGAAGCTGCCTTTTGGAAGGCAAATCATGCTCAGGGGGCAACTTTGTTGAGCGATGCGGTGACCATCGGATTCGTCCTCTTCCCTCTCCCTGCCACTCTCTTCCGTCATCCTCCTGCCCTCCCCTCTCGATGGTCCTGGAAAGGCCTTGGGGATCATGTGGCGTCGCTTCCCCCACCACTCCCTCCTCCTTCTCCTCCTTCTCCGCCTTCACCTCCTTGCCTTGAGCATTCGCCGCCATTCCTGCTCATGCCTACCTCTCAGCGGCCCAGCAGGCAATCCCGCGCAGGGCAGCTTCCGCCCCATCGGGGCATCTTCATGTGGTGCCAGCGTGGCTGGCCTTGTCTTTTAATCTTTCCATTTCCTGGGTCTGGATGTCGTTCCTGCGCTGGGGCTTCTACAACCCGCTTTCCATGCTGGCACCGCAGAGATGCCTGGAAATATCTACAGCCCAGCGCCGTCGACGTGCTCATGATACTAGCAACGAGATGGGGGCAGGAAAACATCAACAACGAAGTCCGCCAGCTCCAGAACTACAGCCACAGGACCTAAACATGGGGCTGCGGACCCGGGCCTTTTACTGACAGTCATGCAGGAGTGGCTGTTATGATCAGCAGTTGCTTCCGCCAGCGCAACATAGTTGAGCTCAAGAGCCCCCCGCCGAATATTCAAGGCCGTGCAGGAGCTCTATGTATCCGCAGAGGCGAACTGGACCTCTCCTTCCTGGTGGCATCGCCCCCTTGGCCCGCAACGGACCACATCCCGTGGGTCAAACTCAAGTGGGTGAACCTTGCGCTCAGCTTCACGCCCACGCGCGGCACCCCCATCATCGGCCTCGACCTCAACGACAAGTATGGACAGGGCAGTATGTTTGCAGCGACGGCGGGCGACGCCATCAGACCTACCTCTCCCACGGGCATTTGACCCGAAGCGGCTGCGGCGTTCCACAACATACTGGACGTACGCGGGATGTGCTTCTTGAACAGGTTCTGGTAGGCAGGGCCCGCCCACCTGCAGTCACGTTCAAGCCAGTCGGCCAGATTATGTAGCAGTGCCTCGAGGTAGCACTGCCGCAATCATGTGCAGTATGGTGGAAAGCTTCCAAGGTCGTCCAGCTGATCAGCGACAACGTCCTCCGCGACCACGTGCCACTCATAGCGTCTGCGAAGTTGGTCGCACCCAATTTTTTCACGGACATGCAGCGGACCTCCTGGGACGACGTCGAGTTGGCAATCACACTCCTAGACTGGCACCTATCGCAAAGAGTTCATCGAGGCGCCAGAGACCGCGTACAAGAACAAATTCGAGGCCGAAAACGCGACGAACGGCCACTTGTAGCTATTCATCAGTACGCTGAACCGCCGAGTCGGGCACCTACAACCAGCAGGTGCAAGAACGGTTTCTCTGTCGAGCACCAAGGGCGAAACATTGCAACGAATGCATCGGCGGTGACTTCTCTTCCGAGGTAGAAAGCAAGTTGACCCTCCTCGCTCGCTGTGGAAGAGGCAGAAGCGGATCCACGAGCGCGAGGGCCAGGAAACATTCAAGACTCTCATCTATCAGGCCCGGACAACGAAAGTGCACGCGGAGGTTCATGAAACACGACCCATTCTTGAAGAACGGGCTACCCGCGTCGCGCTCATCGGTAAGGGCAGAGGCTTCGAGGCGTACCTGGTCGACCTGAATGACGAGAAGGGGATCCGGAAATCCAGCTCCTGCTCCTCCTCGACCGATCTCAAGCAGCAGATGCGACAAGGAATTGGAGATGCGAGAGACTACATCGGCAAAGTCTACTTCGGCGTTGAGAAGCGGGTCGAGTACTTCAAGAAGCGCGCCTCCGTGCCTGAATGGTCGCTACACGTGTTCCAGGTCATCGCGCAGGCGACTCGGATCGCCGAGGGGCAGCCGCAAACCACAGAGTTACAGCGGCGACCTCATCGAAGCTCTTATCGCGGACGAGTGCTTCAGATGTATCATCGACGGCGCCTGCGAGGGTCGGCTTCGCTCCGCCCGGCGCCCATCGCATCTGGGGCTTCGTGCTGGACAAACATCATTACGAGCCACAGGTTCAGGGCTCCGCATTTAGCACATGCTATGCTCCGTCTGGCGCTACTCTCCCGGCAGCTGCAGTGTCGCTCCAAGCCATGGGTGCCTCCTCCGCGCGCTCGCGGATGCTGGCCGCTTCGAGGGCGAAATGTTCCAATGGCGGCATTGTGTATCGCGGCGTGCGGACAGCAGGGGGCCAATTTCGATTTCGCCGTGGGCAGCAAGGGCGCGGCCGTCGCGTTCCCCGGCACTCAGACCGACAAAGCGGCAGATGTAGTCCTCCCCCCATTCCCGGGCAGAGCCACCCTGGCGACCCTCCCTAAGCAGAGCTGAAGCCTTTGCTTAATCAGGCTCAGAGCTGAAGCTCTTGTTGAGGCCCCTTGCAGCTCACACGCCGGATCGGCGGATTTAATCGCTTCGCTCGTGCCGCCAGCCCGTATCGTGCCATCGCAGGCGTTTGCCTGCGCATCCGTGGTCTCTTGGAGCCTCGTGGGGGCCGTTTGGAGGCCTCTTGGTGCCTCTTTCTGAGCCTCTTGGGAACTTCGTGGGGCCTCCATGGGGGCCTCTTGAGCTCTCTTGGGGGCCTCCTGAGGGCCTCTTGGGGCGGAGGGTTCGACTTGGTGGTTCGTGTTCCCCCTCTTGGGCCCCTCTTGGGGCCGTCTTGGGGCTCTCTTGGGCGCCTCTGGGGCCGTTTTTGGGCCCTCCTGGACCGTCTTGGGGCCCTCTTGGGCCGTCTTGGGGTCCTCTTGGGCCCTCTTTGGGCTCTCTTGGAGGCCTCTTGGGCTGTCTTGGGGCGATATTTGGGGCGTCATGGGGCCGTTTTTGAGCGTCGTGAAGCCGAACAGATGAGAACGCCCAAATCCTTCAAAAACCTTTTTGGGAGATCTATAGTTTTGCCTCTTCGGGCCCTCTTGAGACGCTTTGGGCGTCTTGGGGGCGTCTGCGGCCGTCTGGAGACTGTCTTGGGCATCTTGGGCCGATCGGTCGGCGACTCGGAGCCCTCTTGGACCGTCTTGGGGACTCTTGGGGCCCTCTAGGAGCGCTCTGGGGCGCCTGGAAGCCGCGCCCAGAAGAAAAACAACATTTCTACACTAGAAATTTTGTTTACCAGTAGCCGGAGATCTTAGCGCGCCTCTGGCTTGTTGGGTCGGCGAAGTCATGATGATGACGATGATGGTGCTGCTGCTGATGATGATGATGATGCTGATGCTGATGCGGGCTAGTATTATTATTGATATTGTTGTTGCAGTTGTTGTTGCTATTGTTGTTGCTGTTGTTGTTCTATTCTCATTATCAGTACTATTTGCACCATTTTAATTATACTTCGTCTTCTTCTTCCTTCTCATCCTTGTCATCTTCTTCCTCCTCCTCTTCCTCCTCCTCCCTCCTCCTCCTCGTTCTCCTCCTCCTCCTCCTCCTCCCTCTTCTTTCCTCCCCCCTAACCGCGGCTCCGTTGCCGGGCGCTTTTCTCGATGCGTGGCCGGCATTGGCGCCAGGAGGCACCGGGAGGCGCTGGGAAAACCAACTATATCAGCTGATTTGCTACCCCGCCATTTGTCCCCCTCTCCGTTTGGCCGGTCCGATCCTCGGATTCGGCCCCATGGATCTTGGGCGGCTTCTCGCAGATGCCCCGCGCGAGACGTATCCATGGGGTCGCGTATCCATGAGGTCGCGCCTCGGTAACTGGACCGCGTGGGCAAGGATATGGACCAGGACGCCCCCCAACGGCCCCAGAACCGTCCCAGATTGCCCTCGGCGTCCAAAGCGGTCTAGTATGCCTCCGAGAGCACTTCCTCGATAGCCCCAGGAACCAACAATCCGTGATTTTCTGGCTACCCCGTGGTGTTGGGTCCTAGTTTCGCAGAGACAGCGCCCCACGTTTCTCACTTTTTCCTTCCTCCCTGTCCCACTCTCTTTCCTCCGCATGTCAGCCTTTGTTAATAGTTTGTATATTCTGACACATTCACGAAGGCGGTCGAACCTTACAGCCAGGCAGTTGGAGCATTGGGCGTCGAGGGGAACTCCCCACATGTGACGGTACCAACACCACTGCCACGCCCCTCGCACGTTTCGTGTCTACATAGTGAGCTCCACCGAAGGTCACAGTGGCAAAGCCCACATGTGGTTCCCCGCCCATTTCGGCACACCCTTCACACGTTTCGCGGCCCCATGGGGAATTCTACCGAAGGCCCATGCTGGTCTTTGGATGTGGTGCTTCTTGTAGTGAAAAGGAAGGCTTGAAGTGACCTCTCAGGAGGCGGCTTAGAACTGGATGGTGAATTGCAACATCTTGGGTTCACTCTGGCCTTACTCGCCTCCCTCGTCGTCCCTCCCCCTCTTTCTTCTCCCGTTCTTCCTATTCTTCTTCCTTCTCCGCCTCCTCCTCCTTTTCTCCTGTTCCTCCTCCGACCGCTCCCCCTTACTTTACCCTCTCGTGCCCTTTTCTGGACCTTCCCCCCTCCTTTTGTGGGCCGCCATCCTCTTCTTCCTCCTCCCTTCTCCTCATTTCTCCTCTGTCTCTGTCTCTCTCTCTCTCTCTCTCTCTCTCTCCCCCCTCTCTCTTTCTCGCCGTATCTCTCTCTCTCTTTCTCCCTCCCTCTCTCTCTCTCTCTCTCTCTCTCCCTCCCTCTCCCTCTCTCTCCCCCTTCCTTTCCGCCCCCTGACTCCTCCATCCCCTCCCCCTCCTCCTCCCCCTCCCCCCTCCCCCCCCCTTGTCCTCCCTTTTCCCTGCTCCTCTTGCGAGGATCCCGTGACCTTCGTGGTGAATTCCATCCTGGCTTTTGTTACGGCCCACGCCCAGCGCGCGCTCGGGAGGGGAGGGGGGAGGCCACCCATGCTCGTCGTGCTGCTGCTGCTGCTCCAGGGGGAGGAGGGGAAGACTGAGGAGGACGAGGAGGAGGAGCACGAGGAGAAGGAAGAAGATGCTGCTGATGCTGATGATGCTGATGATGATGATGATGGTGGTGATGGTGGTGATGTTGATGATGATGCTGCTGCTGATGATGCTGATGATGATGCTGATGATGATGATGTCGATGACGATGGCGATGCCGATGCTCATGCTGCTGATGCTAATGCTGCTGACGACGATTAGGATGCTGCTGCTGATGATGATGCTGATGATGATGATGGCGACGATGCTGTTGTTGGTGATGATGATGAAGATGCTGCTGATGATGCTGCTGATGGTGATGATGATGTTGATGATACTGCTGCTGCTGCTGATGATGATGATGATGCTGATGATGCTGATCATGATTATGATGATGATGATGCTGATGCTGATGATGATGACGATGTTGATGGTGATGAGATTGATGATGATGATGATGCTGATGACGATGCTGCTGAGGATGATTATCATGATGATGATGCTGATGATGCTGATGATGATGACGATGATGCTGCTGCGGATGATGATGATGCTGATGATGATGATTATGATGATGATGACGATGCTGATGACGATGATGATGCTGATGATGATGATGATGATGATGATCACGATGCTGCTGATGACGATGATGATGATGAGGAGGAGTATGATGCTGATGATGCTGATGATGATGATGCTGATGACGATGATGCTGATGATGCTGCTGATGATGATGCTGATGATGATGATGCTGATGATGATGATGATGCTGCTGATGATGATGTTGATGCTGATGATGATGATGCTGATGATGTTGTTGATGATGATGACGATGATGATGATGATGAGGATGATGATGATGACGATGATGATGCCGATGATGATGTTGATGATACTGCTGCTGCTGCTGATGATGATGATGCTGATGATGATGATGATGCTGCTGATGCTGATGCTGTGCTTGATGCTGAATGCTGATGCTGATGATGATGATGATGATGATGATGTTGATGATGCTGATGCTGATGGCTGATGCTGATGAGGATGATGATGATGGGTGGTTGTGTGGGTGGTGATGATGATGATGCGGCTGCTGCTGCTGCTGCTGATGATGATGAATGATGATATGCTGATGATGAATGTATGCAATGATGATGATGACGCGATTATGATGTGATGATGATTATGATGATGATGTGAGAGTGATTATGATGATGATGATGATGATGATGATGATGATGGATGCGGATTTAGATGCGATGATGATGATGATGATTATTATGATGATGATAGGATTATGAGGAGGAGGGCGAGGAGGAGGAGGAGGAGGATGAGGAGGGTGAGGAGGATGAGGAGGTGAGGAGCGGAGTATGGTGAGGAGGATGATGAGGCTGAGGAGGAGGAGGTAGATGAGTGAGGAGGAGGACGAAGACGAATAGGATGAGTGCTGGAGGAGGCGGAGGAGGAGGAGGAGGAGGAGGAGGAGGAGGAGGAAGGAGTAGGAGGAGGAGGAGGAGGTTGAGGAGGAGGGGAGGAGAGGAGGGAGGAGGAGGAGGAGAGGAGGAGGGGAGGAGGAGGAGGAGAGGAGGATGAGGTGAGGATGAGATGAGGAGGGGGAGGAGGAGGAGCGAGGAGGAGAGAGAAGGAGGAGGAGAGGAGGAGGAGGGGAGGAGGAGGGAGAGAGGAGGGAGGGGAGGAGGCGGAGGAGGAGGGGGGGGGAGAGGGAGGGGAGGGGAGGGGAGAGGAGGAGGGAGGGGAAGGAGGAAGAGGGAGAGGAAGGAGAGAGAGGAGGCGAGGAGGAGGAGGAGGGGGAGGAGAGTGAGGAGAGGAGAGGAGGAGATGAGGAAGAGGGGAGAGGAGGAGGAGGAAAGGAGGGGAGAGACGCGGAGAGGGACAGAAGAGAGGAGAGGAGAGGAGAAGCGAGGCGGAGGCGGGAGGCGGAGGAGGGGGAGGAGGAGGAGGAGGAGGAGGAGCAGCAGGAGCAGGAGGAGGAGGATGAGGAGGCGGAGAAGGAGGAACAGGATGAAGAGGAGAAGGAGGCAGAAGAGGAGGGGGAAGAGGAGGCGGATGCTTTTTAATGGGGGAGGAGGACAGGAGGAGGAGGTGGTGGAGAACGAGGAGGATGAGGATAGCGAGCACGAGGAAGAGGAGGAGGATGCCGAGGAGTGAGGAGGAGGAGTAGGAGCAGGAGGAGGACGAGCAGGAGGAGGAGGAGGAGCAGGAGGAGGAGGAGGAGGAGACGGCGAAGAAGAAGAAGGATGACGAGCGAGGATGAGGAGGAGGAGAAGGAGGAGGAGGAGAAGGATGACAAGGACGAGGATGATGATGATGATGATGAGCAGGAGGACAATGATGCCGCTGCTGGTGATGCTGATGATGATGATGCTGATGCTGCTGCTGATGATGATGCTGTTGTTGACGATGATGATGCTGATGATGATGATGCTGATGCGGATGCTGCTGCTGATGATGTCGATGACGAAGACGATGGCGATGCCGATGGACATGCTGATGATGCTGATGCTAATGACGACGATTATGATGCTGCTGCTGAGGATGATGCTGACGATGAAGATGGTGATGATGCTGCGGTTGGTGATGATGATGATGATGTTGATGCTGATGATGTTGATGCTGATGCTCATGATGCTTATGATGCTGATGATGACGAGGATGGGGAGGAGTAGGATCCATATGAGGAGGGGGAGGATGAGGACGATGAGGATACTGATGATGCTGATGATGATGATGATGCTTCTACTGCTGCCGCTGCTGATGATGAGACCGATGCCGATGACGACGATGATGCTGGTACTGATGACGATGCTGATGATGCTGCTGCTGCTGATGATGATGATGATGAGGATGAGGATGTGGTTCACGATGGGGACGCAGACGATGAGGATTTCGATGATGTTGATGTTAATATTGATGTTGATGTTGATGATGCTGTTGCTGATATTGATGATTATGAATAAGGTTACGATTCTGATTCTGATTCTGATGATGATGATGATGATGATGATGATGATGATGATGATGCTGATGATGATGATGATGATGATGATGATGATGATGATGATGATGATGATGATGCTGTGCGTGCGGTGAGAGAGAGAGAGAGAGAGAGAGAGAGTGGGAAAGGAGAGAGAGATAGAGAGAGTGTGTGTGTGTGTGTGTGTGTGTGCATGCACGCACGGATTTGTTGCGAGTTCCGTAGCCGCCAAGGGTCGAATGTAGAAGTGTTTCGGCACGCCCCGCAGCCAGACAGAGTGGCCACCTCCTCTTCTTTTCGGGCGGCAGGATCGAATTCCTATGTACCACCCTCGGCTATGCCCGTGTTGGGCCCAGCATCGGTGTGCATGCCCTTGCGGCCGAGTCAGGGGGGGTCGGGTAACCGCTCCTGTGCCCAAGATGGGTCTGGCCAGGGGTGGTGGGCACGCATCAAGTCGGGCATGTCCCTCTACAGGAGGACTGCTCAAAAATAGTAAATTAGCCTGGCGAAGGACCCAACCATATACAGTTGTGAGTACCGCAGTTGTGGGTATCGTCGTCGGTGGAGCTCCTCATGGGCCACGCAACGCTGTGCTGGGTGGGGGTGACGCACTGAGGCCTTCGGTGGAGCACCCTATGGGGCCACGAAGCGCTGCACTGGGTGGGGGCGACGCATGTGAACTGTTCCAATGGGGCCTTCTGTGGAGCTCCCGAGGGGGCCTCGAAACGCTGTGCTGGGTGGAGGAGACGCGTGTGAACTGTTCCTCTGCGGCCTTCGGTGGAGCTCCCTATGAGGCCACGGAACGTCGTGCTGGGTGGGTGAGACGCATGTGGACACCGCCATTGGAGCCTTCGGTGGGGCTCCCTATGGGGCCACGAAGCGCTCTACTGGATGGGGAGACGCATGTGAACACCGCCACTGGGGCCTTCGGTGAAGCTCCCCATGGGGCCACGAAGCGCTGCACTGGGTGGGTGAGACGCATGTGGAGCATTCGGCGGAGCTCCCTACTGTGATGATGATGATGATGACGACGACGACGAGTACATGCGCAGGGCAGAGGCAGGGATGGGAGGAGGGAGGAGGGGGAGGAGGAAGGAAGAAGGAAGGAAGGAGGGAAGGAGGGAAGGAAGGAGGGAAGGAACTCGGGGACGGTCTTTTCAAAACGAGGACCCAACACCACAGGGTGGCTGGGAAAACTAGTATGGGGGCGATTTTTCGATTCTTTCCGGAGTATTTTCGAGTATGGTTCGACTATTTTTGATTTTTCCTGCAAAATCCGCCTGTAGGAGGACATGCTCGACCTAAGCATGCATGGATCTCTTCGCCCCATTCTCTGCCCTCTGTTCGGCTGCAGGTCTGGACCATCAGCCAGCTCTCCTGGGGCGAGTCGTTCTTCGAGAAGAGGAAGCGGGTCATCCGCGAGCGCATCCGGCAGGACTTTCTCTCGCTCTCCCCGTCCTTCCACCAGGAGAGGAAAACATACAGACACAGTCAATCGTCGATGGTTTTTGAGCGCGGGGTGGCTGGCAGTAGAGTGCCTCGGAGTTGGGGCGCCCCCGGGCGCCGAGGAAGGCCTCGCCTCCAGTGGAAAACATACATGCGCGCTGAGGCAGTGGCCGTTGCGGGGAACAACCCGGGCGCACCTCAGGACCTGTTGAATGAATCCCAGCAGCAGTAGCAAGAACCAGTTTCAGCATACTGCTTCGGAGTATAATTGTTTTCGGCCGCCTCCGCCCCCCCTCCTGCCCCTTCGCCCGCCCCCCTCCCTCCTCCCGTGTGCAGTGACGCCTACCCTCGCACAGCGTTTTGGACAACGTTCCGAGCACATGTCGCCCGAGGCACTGCTGCTGCTCAGCGTTCTCGCGGCAGTTTTTTTTCCTCGT